AAACACGGAATTATATTCTTTAAATCTACATTACATACATTACATAATAAACATTACATACATACATTATTTAGACAATATTATTTGCCCAAAAATAGCTATAAATTTATAATTATACTACATAGAAAGTGTCATTGAAATTATTTGACATTTCTATTAAGTGTATAATTAGCGTGTGAGCATTTCGAGTTATCTTTTAAATTTTTTCTTTTGTTTATTCAAGTATCAAAAAAAAAATTTGCATCTTTCATATTTGTTCAAATTACTTCTAATTGAAAAACTCACTAAGAGATTAATTTTTAATAATTTAAAATTTATTTTAAATTCATATAAAATATTTTATCAACGAAACTACCGTTAAGAGTTAATAGTTAATTATTCTTTTTGGCTTAGTACATTTATACAAAAGGATTAGAACGTAAAAATTCAAGCTCGTGTATTTGAAAGCTTAAATTTTTTTTTTTTTTTTTTTTTTTTTTTTTTTTTTTTTATAGGACTTTGTGAATACATTTGTATATAAAACATTTCAATTTGGCATGAGTAATTTTCAATGATTTGAAATTTATTAAATCCAAGTAAAATGCATTGAAAGTTAAAGCAAAAAAAAAAATTAAAACAGCCTGGAAACTGTAAAATACACCAATGCTCGAAAAATTTCATAAATATTTCAATTATTCTGAAGCCGAGAATTCCTATCGCAATCACACGGCAACAGCAAAAATAGCCACAATCCAGTATTTGTATACACTAAACTTTTCCTTAAGCGAAGAAAACTTCACAATTAAAAAATCTACTACAAGCTCAATCGACGAACAGTCGCTGTGTTGTAAACTAACTGCAATGCAAATAGCGATATTTAGTCAAACTACTCCAGACTAGGGGAAATCGAATAACCAAGTACATTGGCGAACGCATTTACATTTACACATACGCAAACTCTTTTCTACAGCCGTCGCGCAAATATGTGCAAGAGCATAGAGTAGGCAGGCGTGGCCCACATTAGTCTAGTATGCGGTATGTGTGCATGTGTAGTCGAGAAACGAAATCAATAAACGGAAGCCAGTACATCTCTATCCCTTCCATTATCGTTCTTCCTTTATCTATTGAAATATGCATGCATGCGCACGCTCGTATAATCAAGTTTTTTTTTTTTTTTTTTTTTTTTTTTTTTTTTTTTTTTTTTTTTTTTTATATATATAAAGCGTTTATTTTTTATGTGCTGTTATGAACATAATTCTGCAGATTTGACAGAACCAGACGTCTACTAGGCTCGTGGAAAAAGATTATTTTCTCATTATCGCTATTGTGTGTTAGGAAGCCAACGGTGGCCATTTAACCCTGACACGTCTAACATCCTTGTAATTGGGAAGCAACTTAAAATAGTTAAAATAATTTTCAGTCGGCTCCATTCTATGTTTCATATTATTCACGATTTTAAATGATAAATTGTGTTCTTTATAATATTTTATCGATGAATTGGGAACAAAAACGAGCAAATTATGGTTTCATTTACATGTTTTGCTTTAATATTATCTATTACAAATGATCTCTAAAATTTACGAAATCTATAATCCCTTTCTATTTAGTTCATTGATTTCATTATTTAAACTCTAAATAATCGATATTGTTAACCGAGAGCATTTATACTATAGTAAAATATATCATTTTATATTAAATATATTTTATGCGCTAAGGAATTTTTGAATATTGAATGTTTAATTTCCTTAATAAAAACCCAAACAATCTTAAAGTTTCTCATAAATATCAACTTTTTAGAAATTATTATAATATTAAAAATTGCTGCTTATATTGCAAATATGGCATTTAATGGTATAATGTTGAAGAATGTACAATTTTCAAACGCTTATTACACATAAATTATTGAGTTTCTTGTAAACATTTTTGTAACTTTATTATTAGGGAAATTAGAATTTTCAGTTATTTGAATTTTAATGATCTAATTATTAAAAAAAAAAATTTTTAATACGTAATTCAATAATTCAACAACAAATATTTATCACATCATACATTTTTATAAATAATTTATCAATGTTTAAGAATTTATAGTTTCATATCTTAAAATTTTAGCTATTATCCATAATTCTTTTTAATATTTTTAAGAGATAAATTAAATAATATATACGAGTATAATATAGCAATTAATTACATAATGGATGTATGTATAATGTAATAATTAATATTTGGATGGTTAAATTAATATAGCAATTTTACATCGTAAATAATTAATATCTTCAATCAAGTATATTATACTAAGTGTACTGATTAATTCAAATTCAGTGTAATTATAAAATTAATTATAGTTAATTATGTCAAAGATAATAATATCCTTTAATAACTTCCTATCGAATATTTAGAATAGTTATATTATTCAAATTGATGTACAAATCTTTAAAATGAAACTATTATATTGATATTGCAGCATCATATTCTTTATTTTTGTTAATTTTGTTTTTTTTATTTATTTTTTTTTTTTTTTTGTTAATAAATAGTAATTAATTAGGAAGGGATAGTAACCAAACTTTATAAAGAACTTAAATTCTAATATATAGTATATAAAAATATGCAATCAGCCATTCCCTGCCTGTACTTCAAAGAGAACTATTTCATTGTAATTCACTCATGTGAGTGGAATTATGCAAGTGTAAGTGTAAACGTAAACGTAATAATTGACAAAATTTTATGACAATGATGATATAGAAAGAAGCTCTTTAACTCACTTGTAACCATTATAAAGTAATATTCAATTTATAAGACAATTCGTATATTCTGGATTTTTTAATAAATTTTATAAGGGTACATTGAAGTAAATAATCTTATCAAATAACTGATATCTGTTAACAATATTTTTATAATTGTCTAAGGCGTTTATCGTTCATTTTTAAAATTAACCTTTAACATAATATAGAAATAATATTACTGCTTAATAATTAAAAAGTTTTTTACTAAAATAAAAATTTCATTAAGATTTCGTATTCATAATTCTATGCTTCGAGAATCGCGAAAATCTATAGTTTAGAGATATCATTTACACGAATAAAAAATATGAAGTTCGAAAATTAAAAGTCTACTTTCGTGTGCTAGAATGGCGGCCCGAAAATAATAATTCTACTTTTAAAGCTGGAAAAAAATTTGTAACCCCTTGCAATGCTATCTTACAGAGAGTTTTACATTCCCCCTGAAATTCATTATAGTAAAATAAAAACTCTCGAGGCGCGGTTTTTGGCTAAGTCCATCGCGAGTGTATTAAAGAATGTTTTGAGCAAACTCGGCGAGCTCGATGCAACGCGCCTGCGCAAACCACTATATTCGTATCTCTGTACAATGGTCCCGCAAATACCCATGCGCCACTTGGATTAATTACAGAAATTAGGAAATTGAATTAGCCTTTTAACGGGAGCAGCAGATGCCAGAGCCGGAGGATCATTGAGTGACCAAGTGCATGATGATGCAGCGGCACAACCAATTGCGCGTCCTCGATGCTAAGCTTTGCTCTGATTTCTTTAATTTATAATTCAAATTGTAGCCTTGAGTGTATAGGTCACTGTTAAATCTACCTTTTCTATTCTCTACTTATGGGATTGGAAAACCTTTATCGCTAAGAATACATCTTTTTCTTTAGGAAAAGATGATGGGAGAGAGGTATGTACGATAGTTTTAATGAATGCAATTTCAATTTCGTACTTTTTTTTTATATTAATCGAGTCAAATCTTCCTAAAACATTTATTTTTACGGCTCGGATATTTTAAAATATACCGTTTCTAACGTGAATATTAGTTTCAGTTAATAATTCAAATTATTATATCTACAAGCCGCAAGATTTTCCAATTATTACATTTACAAATGTTTAACATCCTTTTAAAATTTATAATATTGATCGTTTAAATTACAGATACCGAAAATAAAATTAGGGCTTAGTATTTCGGCTCAATTTAATTTTAAATCGACATTCCTCAAATAACTGAACTTTCGACTTATACACATTTTCAAAATATTTTCACCTTCGCAATATTCATTTCCGATGACGGCATTCGATGTCCTAATTCAATTTCAAATTGTAAAATTTGCTTTAAAATAAGCAAAATGTATATATAATCAAAAATAATAATAATAATAATAATAATAATAATAATAATAATAATAATAATAATAATAATAATAATATCATAAATAACACGAAATATCATAACGATTAATCAAAATATTTTCCACTTTGTATTGTTTATCAAGGATTTTATCGTAACACGCTCTTCTGTAGCAATGGAATACATCATTAATCAAATGATATAACATTAATAAGCTTATCTAATAGGATTTGATTCGAATTTCCATAAAAACAAAGTTTATATTACATTTATTGTACTCTTAGTTATCCGCAGTAATTAAATTGTACATAATTAAATTTTAAGTTAAAAAATAATTTATTGTAATAATTATTTGTATGAGAGAGACATACAGCCAGGGAATAAAATAAGCTCTAGTCTAAATCGTATCCACAAAACTTTTATTGCCTGTTAATTATTTAATTTGTCACATACATATCATACGTGTAAGTATGTTGAATAATTTATGAATAAAATTATAATTACCAATCATTGCTCAAACTAATTAACATAATAACTATTTATGGTAAGTTATGGAGAAAAAAAACATACATATATACATACATACATACTTTTTAAAAATTGATATATAATAAACATTCAAATCTCCTTCTCTGATCATAAATTGAGAATTATTAATTATATCAATTGCATTAAGTAATAATATAGAAAAGTCCGTAAGTTATAATATTAAGTTATCGATCAACAAAGCCATCCGAAATATTATTAACAATAGCGAAACATTATTAACAAAACCAAAATATTATTAATAATAAGTTTATAAATTAATTTATAAAATAATTTGTAATTTATAATAATTTTACCCTTTAAAAAGAATGGAAACATTTATAATAAAATGTTCTTGTGATGTTTTGTAGGACGATACTGCAATGTCTCTGGAGGAACGACTAATGGAGCAAAGTAGATTAATAGAAGCTGAGATGCGAATGTCGGAGAGACGAAAATATTTATCTGAAAGGTGTTCAGAGGAGAGCCTCGATAAGCCTGGAAATGATTCTCTTCATCGACCAAACGCTTGGGAGTTTCTTGTCAACAGAGATCATCACCTTATTTGGTGTAATGTTTTTAAAGCAGCATCGACTTCATGGATGTACAATTTCAATTTACTTGCTGGGTAAGATATAACCTTTTATTACATTTATATTAATTAATATTAATCATATTTACGGACGTCATTATACTAAAATAAAAACTCGAATAGGTGATATATCAATAATAGGAAAATAAAAATATCGATGATTGTTTGTATTTCAAAATAAAATTTATCAGAATAATAAGTTCCGTGCAAAAGATTATGTTTGAAAATGCCAAATATTTGAAATCAATAAATATGAGAATGATTTCAATACGTGATTGTGAAATGTTCTACTCTATAATGACTTTTTATTATATAATGATTAACACTTATTTCACAGAGAATAAAAATATGAAAATAGCTCATAAATATTCTCGAAATGCAAGTTCAACCTTGAATTTCTTCATTAATAGTAACAATGTTTATTTCGTTTATCATAAGTTTACATATTATTTAATATGTATAACTTTTTTTTCTTTTTATTATTTATTTTTCATTCTCCTCCATCCTTTTATACTAACTGTTTTATTTCAAAATACAAAAAATTAATTTTGTTTATTGTAAGAAATTTTCTTTACAATTGACGTTTTATGCAAGCACGTAATTCTAATTGTATAAGATGTTGAGCATATTTTATCATTTAAATCGTTCCAGTCGATTAATAAATATTATTGTCGAAATAATAAACTACATTAAAGAAAATTCGTTGATTAAACGTTCGTGCAACAATTAATCTCAATCATCAATGAATATCAGTAAAAAAAATACACGATATTAATCAACTGGGTGTAAGCCCTTACACCAGGCTCTTATAGCATCAGTCGTTAAAATTTAATTATTTGAATTCAGCTTAAAATTCCTCCACTACGCTTCAACGTGACGTACGGCATCATACATCGTCCATGTAAAGAATTTGCGTTTGTGTCTTACACAGCTACAGCTCGCAGTTTCTGAAATCATCCAAGGCGGTGCCGGTATCACTGGCTCGTCAAAAATACCCCCGGCCGACCGCTGAGGAGCTCGCCAAGTTCCTAAACGACAGCATCAGCTTCCTCATAGTCAGGCATCCGTTCGAGCGTCTCCTCAGCGCCTACAGGGACAAGCTGGAGCACAGCCTGCCGCATACCTTCCACAGCAAGCTCGGATCTTACATTGTCTCGCATTATCGAACCAAGGCAAGTTATACGTATGCGCGTAACGACAAAGTGTCGCTCGTGGTATGCGATATTGGATTACAATACCCAAGTGCGTCCGCTCGACTTCAAAACATTTGTACTTGCTCTTACAACTGTGCGACGCAACTCTACGCGTTTAAGTGTACGAGCGTTGAATTTCTCGGAGCGCAGGCTAGCATGTGTGAAGAAATCGAATTGTTAAGACATTGCATTATAACGATGTTATAGTTAGATTTATCGATACTTTCAATAATGCATTATTTATACGGTCGAACAAATTCATATGAAAAATTGTACTTCCACATTTCAAAGATACGTATTATATAATGATTTTATTTTCATATTTCCTGAATGAGCGACGGTTAAAGCAACGGGCCATTTCAATATTTTATTACCATTGTAAGTGTGATTTTTTCCTAAATTTTTAACCGTTTTAATATTCAATTTCTCACCTCACAGTGTTGTGCCGAACAATGGACAAAAAAATCACGGTTTAACACCTTCTCGTTATTTATGCGATCAATGCATATACTATTACGAATCGCATCAATTAATAATAATAATTAAAAAGAATATATAAATATTATAATGCATCGTATTAATTCCTATAACAGAAAAAAAAAAACAAAAAAAAAAAAACCAAAAAAAAAACAAAAATTTTACAGAGTCCTAAATCAGGCGGTAAACGAGGTCCAAGATATCCTCTGTTTGAGGAATTTATAAAATGGCTTTTATGCGAATGGAAAGTCGGAAATGAACTGGACATGCACTGGACACCAATTGTCAATTTTTGTACACCGTGCCAAGTACGATTCGACGTTATAGCGAAATTTGAAACACTTCATGTAAGTATAAGAACAGCTCCTTATGATTTTTCAACAATGACTGCTTTTCTTATTAATATACCATATGTTTCATTAAAGGGAATATGAAATCATTTTAAATAATGACGGTCAACTGTATTCCTTATTATACGATTTTATTAATATTTTAATAATTTATTAATATACTATTGTTATTCCACAAAAAGTTATGAATTTTGCATGAATAACTCCTCGATCATTCTTCATACTTAGAATAAAATGTTGAAAAATACATATTCAATAATAGGCAGAATCCATTCGTTAAAATTTTAAATGTAACGTTATTTATGAAATTCTCGTTTAAATGTTACATAAAAAGCACTTGCTCTTCTAATTTTGTCATTAATTTTAATTTTCATGTGTGCCTGTATGTGTTTGTGTATGATATATATATATATATATATATATATCTTCAAACACTGCTCCAAGCAATTTCGCTAGATATATGATGAACGATATCATCAAAAATTTGCTTTGTTCTGAAGTAAGGTGGTGATAAGGTAGCATCTCTTAATGTTCCATAAATACCTATTATGTAGCAATCAGCCGTCTCATCAAAGATTTAGTTGAAAACATCATCTACAAGAATTTCATATAAGTAGAATATAACGTGTGGTATCAATGTATCGTCAAAATGTCCGTTTCTTACATCCCTTTCATGCCTTTTTATACTGCTTATAGTTATTTATACAGAGATGCAAGAAACGTTTGCTCGTATGCATTTAAAAAGATTCTATAAATCATTAAGTTACAATTTTTATACTAACTTCTTAATTTCATCGATATGAAATTTGTCGAATATTTCAAAACTATTTCTATTAACTACAAAATTTATTTCTAACTCTAATGTTTTTGATTTAATAATCTTCAAGTATGTAATATTTTTAGTTTAAAATACCGTACAAGAACTTTGTAGAATTCCAAAGCCATTATTATAGCCTCTCTGATTACAACAATTATAACTACATTCATATTGCTAAAGTAACCGGGAATTATAGACAAGGGAATATCGAGTACGATAATGATCGTTAAAAAGCTACGAGTAAAATTAGAAATAAAAAATGTTAAATGAAACAATTAAAACATTATAAAGTGCTCGTATTGCATTAAAAACTTTTTTATTATTAGTATTCAAAAATATAAGGAATTTATTTTCTTTATTAAATTATGCGTATATTGAATAATTGAACAAGTCGTCTATAGTAAAGGCAAAAATTAATGATTTTTAATTAAAGATTATGGAATATAAATTTTAAAGCTTAGTTGAAAGAGATTATTTTCCCCTGACGTATGAATGTAGAAGTCAAGATTTTCATTTTGATTATTCATACAAAATTTACATCGACTTGCCATTTTACATAGTATACAACTGTAAATGTTTAGAATTCAACAGTTACTTCATAAATTCAGTCAAATAAATAAGAAACAAAATTAAGTGACCAATTCATATCCACACTTGTTACTATAAAAAATATTTATATATTTATATTTCAGGATGACCAAAATTACCTCATAAAACAAGCTCACGTGGGTCATATAATTAAGCCCGAATGGAAGAATCCAAGTCGGGGCGTCCAAACAAAAGACGTTATCAAGCAATATTTTTCACAACTTTCAAAAACACAAATTAAAGACCTTTATGAAATGTTCAGGTTAGTATAAAAATTTCTTTTTTTAATGAAGAGAAAAGCGTTATTATTATATTTTTCGCAGAAAAATCTGAAAAATATAGTAATTTCATTTGAGGAAATATTTAACTATTCTCTATAATATGAATTATAATTATTTTGTAATCTGTGCATCAATTAAATAAATAAATAAGAATCATTTTCAATGATGTACCGGTAAAAGTATAAATTTAGACTTAAATAAATAAAAATTCAAATTGTATATAAGTATTTCCTCGGTCTAATTTTATATAATAATAATGTCATATAAACAATATATTGCTCCTAATAAGTTATCATTTTATTTTACCTAGGTATGACTTCATTCTATTTGATTACTCACTAATCGAGTATATTGAAAATGGACGGGATGAAGTAACGAAATTAGAATGTAAGAAATAAATTGCCGCCCTTCTAATATCCTCGTTTTTATGCTTAATATATCTTAGTAAATATATACATTTTTTTTTTCTACTAAAATGAAACAAAAAAAAATTCTACGATGTAAGTGATACGAAGGCTTTATATAGTTATAGTTCAGGATGTAGATTATAAATTTGTACAAAAAGCCGACGATTTTACAAATAAACAACGAAATGTATAAAAAAAAAAAAAAAAAAAGAAAAATTAGACCTAATCATTTCCAATTTGTCAATATAAACAAATAGCATTCTTTTGATTATGTAGATCACCAATGATTTGTAAGAAATCTGTTCAGTAATACATTAAGTCTGAAATTAAATTTAAGACAATTTCAACTTTTTGTAAAAGTGCTATAACAAAAGATTACTGCATATGTATGTTATCAAAATTTCAAAAATAAGTATTTCCTTACAAACAATATTTAAGACGTTTGAACAAATTATTTACAAGTCAATGTGCTTTTATAAATATTTTGAAATATACGACTTCAAACATTATTCAACTTTTTACCTATAAATTCATGAGATAAATTTAAAATTTAGATATTCATTAGTGATTATTAAACTTTAATAAACATACATGATACATTAAACATTTTAATAAATGTAAAATTTATATTATTCAATGCAATAGATAAAGATGCAAGTTTATTTTATTTAATTATTCTCCACATAATAATTAATAATCAGACTTATTTGCAAATATTTATGTTTATTAATCATTTACTGTTTATTTTATGAAAAAATATATTTTTAAAACTGAAGATTTTTTTTTTTTTTTTTTTGCTTGTTTCAATGATATCTATTAACACTAACTTATGGTAATATAACTTCACAGATTACATTTATACAGGAGTAAACAAATCTGGATGGAAATTTTATATAAACAAATGTTTGTTATGCTACATAATATTACAAGTTTTTAATCTATTATAAATTAAAATAAATCATAATTTTAATGTTATGTCAAATGAAATTTGTATAATATATTAATTTTTTTAATAGTATCAATTTAATAAAAAATAAACTTTAGGTTATTAGGTATTATTATGAAGATTACTTTAATGTTTAAAATATAAAACATTTAGAAAAACAAGTAGAACAAGTATTTGAAACCCAATTATCGAAAATCACCTCAGCATAAGATAAAAAAGAAGTCTGTCACGTAAGGAAACGATTAATTTATGTAGATTAAGATAAGCAGCATGTAAAAAAAAATTAACAAAATAGTATTTAGCATTCAAGTAAAGACAAATAAGTAAAAAGTACAAATGGAATTAAGAAAAAATTAATAAAAAAGAAAAAATAACTTGTAGAAAAATATATTTTATCTAATCGCTAACAAACATAAAATAAATAATACGTCAATTAAATAATAAATTCGTGTTTTCGAAAGCGAATAATACATGAATCAACAGTAAATAAACAAGTAAATAAATACGTAAATACGATCTGTTATTTCTACCAATAAAATTGAATTATTAGTTAAATAGTTGTTGTTTACTTAACATATTTTAAATGAAAACTTATCTAAAATATTATTTAAAATATTTAGATAAAACAATGTTTCTTCATTTCTTAACAAAGAAGATCAATATGTATAGAATTACATTACGAAACATACTTAATATATAAGTATAATAAATAAATATCTATGTATGTAATGAAATTTAATTAATGAAAAGAAATTTTGCATAATACATCATTGCAAATTTAATATAGAAACATACAATTAGTATGTATTTCTATTAATTATTATAATTCAAGTTACCATTCATGCATACGATTCAAGTAAAAATTTAGGTCGTTAAAGATAGAGGTCGGTCAGGGAAAGCTTAATTGCGATAAATGTTTTCAGAAATTCCCATCATTTATACGAAATTTCAATAACTATTTCAGAGTTATATTAAAAATTCTTTTGAATATGTATACACATAATAATGAATATTAATGAATCCAGAAGTAAAATCAATTTATACAACTAATAAATAGTGTTTAATTCTGTTAATATTAAATGCAACATAGTAGTTTATCAAAAAGAAAATTAATTTTAGAATACTAAAAGCACTAATAAGTATTAAACTAATAAATATAAGTATTAACTAATAAGTAAATGAAAAGGAAAAAAAAACTTTGCAAAAGATTTATTGAATAGTTTTATCATGCATATATATATATATATATATATATATATATATATATATATATTTATTCATTTTTATTTAAAATTTTTACAGTTAAATTGTTGAACAATAACAAATATTTATTAAAACTATTGATAAAATTGCTTAGATACTAAAATCATAAAATTCAATTACAAATTATAACATTTAAGCACTTTATACAAATAATTTATGCAAAACTTATTGTATAAATCTAATTCTTATAAATTTATAATTATTCAGAGCATAATCAGTTTCTGTCAATGAATTTATTTTAAATTAATTAATGATAATATGCAATATAATAATTCTTGTAATCATAAAAATTCTAAATGATATTTACACAAATTATTTATATAGCATTTATGTCTATAAATCTGCAGAGAATGTATTTGTAAATCAAAATTGTAAATTATAATTTATGCGCATTTTATATAAATGGAATAAAGAATGTTATTAAAATAATTATATGAAATTGGAATTTACATTTGCTAAAATTAGATTAGAATTTTAATTTGATTTTAAAACAAAAGACCAGATGAGCTGCATAAAAGTAAGGAAAACAATGCTTAAATCGATACCAACATTGCTTGGTTTCAATTTTTTTTTTGTTTTTTATATAAAAATATACGCATTAATGTTAAATTTTCATTTTCATCATATTATTCCGATATCATTTTTTAATATTCATCTGTAAGTGCTCTAATTTAGTTTTTATAAATTATGAATTTAATCTTCTAAACATAAATTTCAATGTGTAAAAAAGTTATATTCAATTTAGCGTTATCGGTAAATATATATATGAACATAAATACATGTATTAATATTATTTTAAATATAACTTTGATAATTATGGAAATTCGTGTAATGATTAATATAGTTGAGGGGAATTTAATTTAATTTAAAACTTAACTATTGAATTTTTAAATGACATACACAAGTTCAAATTATTTGATTATACTTGGATAAACTATTATGAAAACTAAATCAATAAATTATTGCAATACTTGAAAATGTTAATTTACTATTACAATTATGTGAAATTTAAATAAATTCTCAATACTTTATAAATATGTATATTTTGAGAAATAGTAAATAGAAATATATTTTAAATATAACTTGTGAATTTTTTTACCACATTCCTTGTCCATTATTTAATATGAACACCAATGGCGAGTATTATTACACATTCATGTTTTAAAATAATTAATTTTAATAATGAATAATAAACGATGCTTTATTAATTTGCAAATTTATATGTATATTTAGTATTTATCTAAAAAATGATGAATAATTTACATAAAATATCTTATTTAAGAAAATTGTGGATAAAATATTTTTCAGAATACAATTTAATAGGTGTATAATCTATTAAACATTTTGTCTAGTCTTATCGATTGATGTACTATATACAATTATATTGTTAATGAAAAAATCTTAACTTTCTTATATGGTTAATTATTTTTTAAAATATTTTATTTATTTATAACTATGTTCAAATATAAGATTTGGAAGTTTTAATAATTTAATAAGACAAACTATACATATATAAAACTAATAATTTCTGTCAATTTAGTTTCAAACTAAATTGAAATTATTAATATTTTTGTATTTCGACAAAATTATCTTACCAAGATGTTGTACTCTCTACCAAAAGTCCAATGATCCATTTGTTATCAAAAACTCTTTGCCAAAGATCTTGCACAAGCAGTACTCGACGCTTTTTATAAAACTTATTCTTTTTTTCTTTTATATACAGCTCGCCAGTGCTTGAATATAGCTGTAAATATATATAATATAATAAATTGTATTAAATTAATTTGTGATGAAAACTCACATCATTATCCGACTCTGAGCTAACATCTTCTCTATAACTACTTTGTGCAGTTAAATTGTCTAATGTTGTCTCCGTTACCGCCTCAATAAGTTCAATATTATTTTTCGCCTGTTCTATTTGATTATGTACACAATGTAATTGCTTTAATAAATGTTCTTCTACTGGATTGATCTTTAAAGTTGATTTTTTAATTATTGGCTTTGTTTCCACAGGTGCATTTTCTTTCTTGTTTTTAACCTCCAAAATTTGTATATCTAAGTCATCGTCGTCTAAAATGGAATCTATTTCCATTGCCAAAATCTTGTTTAGCACTTGAAAGTTAAAAGGGACGAAGTAAGAAATTACCGGATAAAACTACATTATTAATAAATCCACAATGTAAACAACGCACTGATTTTCATGTACAAGTTTCAATCTTGTAATCACAGGAATGCGCGAAATATTACTTAATAAAGTAAATACTAAAGCCCAATTACAAACAATTACAGGATGCCGTATGAGGAAACGTGCATAGCACATCCATTTAAGGCATGCGCAGTAGATATGAGAAAACGAAGGCTCTCGAATGCGCGCAATTTCAACATGAAGTTGTAGAATACCGAGAGCGGCAGAATATTTGCATGAAAAAAAAAGTATATTATGTAATACAGCCGAATTCAAAGTAATTTCATATATGTACTTCGTAATTATTGAATATTGAATATTAAAATCGTATTGGGATATATTTATTAGTTTTATTCAAATAGCACAGTGAATAATATTTAATTTGTACTCCCTCACCTAACAATAAAAGTAAATTTTATTTACATAGTTTATAAATTTTTCATAAAGATATTACATGCCGTTATTATATTTCCAAGTTTAAACGTACCATGTATAGACGGTAACATTGACACTATATATTTAGCTTATAATTTATACTGACGTATTATTTCATACTGACCACGTAATTGAAAGTTAACGAGCTTATATCTCGATTGCACATGATTCAAATAGGCACACCGTCTATTGACAAATTAGAAATAATTGGATGATCCAGCCACTACACTCGCAGTAATCTTGATCATTATATGCGTAGTGAGTATTCTATGAAGTATTAATTACATGAGCTATAGTAACTTTTATTATAACACATAGTTAAGAGGCTTATCAAGCGTTGCGCATAAATAACAGATATTTTGGTATGAAAGATATAATTTCAATAAATAGAAGTAATTCTTTATTCCAAATTTTTGTAATTTCGTAATTTTTGTATGTCTTGCTCTTGTTAAGTCTTTTCGCACCCTTACTTTAATAGTATTTGAGAGATTTTGTCCAAAGCTCACAGCTAATTAACATAATATACTTGTCTACATGCAACAATTGGTCATATAAACTATAGTTACTAATATTGTTATTCACGTATTATTTTTATTTATATCAATTTATAATAGATAATCAATAAAAATTGCTTCAAATTTTCAAGCACACTTTAAGTATATTAAGCATTGTACAGAAAATTATAAAAATAAAGCTAATGAATTTTTTTACATTATTCTAGATATTTGTATTCAATAAATAACTTACATGAAATTTAAATCATTATGTTTTAATTACATCATTGAGCAACATCTTTAAATGATACAAAGTTTATAAAATTCAATAGAAAAACTGACCATTACATTATTTTAAATGAACATGAGCAATACTTAATTACCTTAATTACCTATCATTAATGAAATAATGAAGAAAAACTCGATAATACATTCAATCTATTTTATTGACATTTTAGCATATATTATATTTATTATTACTTATTCTTACATAATATAAAAATTGCCACCATTTTATTACATCTACAGCTGTATATTATAATTGCACTGAAGCTCCAAAATCCTAAACCTATCATATATAAATATATTATACTAAAGTATAAATAATAGAAAAGATCCAAAAAAATAAAATGGTTAAAAAACAATTGACACGGCTCTTTTAACTTTTTTGTTATTTAACGTTTTTGTTCATCAATCACGAAACATGAGTTTATAAATATAAATGAATAATGAGCTGCCCCATGTTATAATAATAAAGAATAATATTCACTTACTCATTTATTTCAATAAATAAATATATAATTATATACGTATATCGAGAAAAATTATAAAACATAAATAAATCAAATATAATTTATTTAAAACGTTATTTCTTTTACTTAGTCCGCAATTATTTCGAATATTATTAGATGTTCTTTTTATTCATTATTCTTACTATGTTACTGTAAAAAAAATACAAATTATATCTAATTAAGAAAGAGATAAAATAATACATAAATAATAAATCAGCATCGCTTCTAAATTTAAAAAAAAAAAAATAAATAAAAAAAAAAAAACTAAAACTGTGCAAACGATTGAAGGATTCAGCGAGTTAAAGAAGTAAGACAAAAGCTTGGATTAATGAAAAAATAACATTTATTAAGTAGAAAACAATTTGTGTAAAACTATTTGAATGTTAACGTTCTACCAACTTTGAATAAACAATCATAACTGATTTAGAGTCTTGGAGACTTGGAGTCTTAAATAAATTATAAATAAATATTTAATATTTTAATCGATCTATAGTTCTTATTTACTGTCAATATGCTTTACACGTGGCAACGAATAACGTTTATTGGTCTGTTCTTTTTGTTCTTCTTTTCCTTATATTTTTTAATATATGTTTATTTCTAAATATTTGTAAAGAGAATGTAAGATAAAGATAATTCTTTCTCGCTTCAAGTTAAGTTATATTTATATTTTTTAAATTAAATTCTCTTAAAATATTACGAGTTTAAAATTTTTGAAAAAGAAATGAACATAAATTTACGATATTAATAAATTATATTTGTTTGTTAAATTGATTTTAAAAATTAGCATTTCTTTATAAAATTATCACATTTATTACTGGTTTAGCTTTAAAGTTTGTCTAAAAAATTTTCTCAAAATCCCAGCATTAAAAGATTATTGTCATTGACTGTTAACATTACTTGTTTCTTATTTCTAATAAATACAATTTTTCCCCTTTCTAATTAGCATCTTTGAATTCATGTACAAATTCGGATACATCAGCTTTTAATATCGGATACTTAATATTTAAAGTATAAGCAAGGTTGTTCGATCAATCAATTGTTTGAATACCATTAATCGGACTTAATAAATATGTTAACGTAAGCTTTATTCAATCACTCGATAAACTTTTGATAAACGTTTAACGAATTTAGAGCTTCATCGTTTCGAAAATAAATTTTTCTCTCCAAATTGTAATCTTATGTTTTAATAATTAATTTTCTGATTCTAATTCATAATGAAAATAATAAATTTTTTTTTTTTTTTTTTTTTTTTTTTTTTTTTTTTTTTTTTTTTACTAAACGTTTTAGTATGTAAAAAACATCAACATTATAAGATTAAGTAAAAAAAAGAAAATTTGAAAAAGGAAATAAAAACATTCATATAATTAATTCATTTTATTTTAAATGTGTACTTTCTAGCATGTAAAGCCTTGGCATAAAGATTTAATTAATATAATATGATTATATATGACTTAAAGCGAACAGATTTACGTATTTATTTTAGAAACATCGAAGCTTAAAGTTATAGAATTATCGGACTAAAATGTAATAAAATACATAAGGAAGAATTAATTACTATGACTATCACCTACAATATCATAGATATCCTAAAAAAATCCATTAACCACAACGAAAATGCAAATTAATCTCTAACATATTTTTGTTTTTAATTTTTTTTTTTTTTTTTCATTTAAAATTTTCTGAGCAAACATGAACGATCAAGTTCATTCTCCAAGTCAATCAAGATCAAGTCCATTTAAATTGGAAAAATTAAATCTATTAACAGTAATAGAACGTTTCTTATATTTTCAACCATCTTTTTATTGTTATATCTATGTCCATAATTTCATCATATTACGTAATAGTAATTATTAAGTAATAGTAATACGCATTAAATCACTTTATTTTGTTGCATCCATTAGCCTCGTCTCAATTTTTTATATAGATATCTCGCATTAGTCATTTACACAGTATCGATTGGCTGCGAAATTCAAACACGTTTGTGTATCTCAATCTTCGCGGTTTGGTTGTGATAGACGATATAATCGACAGGTTTACTCTACCGTAGACTATTCGTCCATTATATCCTTCCTACACTAGATCCTGCAGTTTCGCTCGTAATCACAGCTAAAATCTAAATTTCGCCATCGTAAGGATATTCATACTGAAATATTAATTTTTCAAGAGGGTATTATAAATCTGAAATTCTTTTTTTTAAATTGCATTGATGAAAATAGAAAATTCCGAATGGGTCGAATTTTTTTGTAAAATATCTAAGTATACAATTAGGGAGAAAGATGGAGAGGTACTGAATTGCTGCTAATTATAACATAATACGTTGTACATCTGAAATGTTCGATAAATTAATTTCTACTATCAAATTATTTAATCATCCCATTAATTATCAAAAATATAGAATATACGAATCGTAAATATGTTATAATAATATATAAAATATTAAATTAACAATATTAGCAAGTTAATAATTCGATAATCTTACGTAATACTATTTTTATTTGTTGTAATAATTAGTACTGCAACTTATAACTCAACAGACTAAAAATAAATATATTTATCTTAAAAAATATCATAAATCATCATTAATCCATTAAACTACATAAAATAATTATTCATCAATTAAAGAAAACTTTAAAATAATTAATAACAACATTTTTTTTTTTAATTTACAATAAAATTTCTATTATATCTCAACTATTTCATATTTGATTTGTGCATATTTATGGTTATTTATTTACAATAATATTATTATTGTAAATTTACATATTTATTTACAATAAAATTTCTATTATATCTCAACTATTTCATATTTGATTTGTACATATTTATGGTTATGCATGCGTATAAATACAATTAAATAAATCAAATAGATATTGCCTTCGTTAAACTTTTAGCACATCAAATAAATTGTTTTTTAATACAGTTACAATATTATATAGAATATCCATATAGAAATTAATAATTCAAGAAAAGAATGTTAAAATATTATAAGTACATAAATAATAAAATATAGCATGAATTATGAATTGGCTGCAAAATATCATTATATTTTGTTTTTTTAAATATTTTTAAATAAATATTAGAACGGTAGAAAAAATAATTCTTATTTTTTTCTTCTAAAATTATTTATTTGTCCTCATACCACTTAATTCATCAAAAGAAAAAATGTCTATACATGATTATATAGAATAAATGGAGAATAAAAACAAGAAAATAACAAAATTGGAAATTACGTCAAGGGAAGTTCCAATAATCGTAAATATAGACTTGAACTGAAAATATTATATTACGGCCTTTTACTTGATCGTGACGTTGTCAATCAATATTTCATGCGATCCATTCATTCACAGAAACTAATAATTATTGAATATTAATATCGTTTCTTTTTAAAATTTGATTAAAATTGCATTATATGAAAAAGTGATATAAAATGTATAAAATAAAAAATTAATCAATGTAAAATGATAATAGAAGAAACAATACTTATTTACTTTTCTACTTAAATAATTACAAAAAAAAAAAAAGAAGACGATTTTGTACAGGATTATCTATAAGCAGTCACACACTGTAGTTTAAAATACTATAAAATTATGGTAAAAGACTTGTATTTTAATTTTCAAATCAACAATCTTATTCTCATTTTTTAGAAGTATGTTGTAAAATATTGAAGGCCGAATATGAAACTTTAACAATCTGAAAATGTTAAAACTTCAAATAACAAGTATTTACTTTTAAAAATATTATATCTTATTAATAATTATATTAACATACATTTATAAATGATTCAGGAGTTAATCTGATAATACTCTTGCTAAATAAATAAATTGGTTGAGCAGTTTTCAACATTACGTATGCTAGCATCGTCTTTGATTCCTTTTGCAAAATACACCAATTCATGTTGAATATTGAATTTGAGACGTGTAAGCTCTTTTAATACAAAAAATTATTAAATTATTTTTAATAAAATTTAATCATTTACAAATAGTCAATTCACATTTTAACTTACATTGCTTGATATTTTGAAACCAAACCAACAGAATAAGAAATTTTGAGTAAATAGACAACAAAGAAATATGAATACCGCATTGAATTCACTACTGAATATATCTTGCATTGACAATAAATAAATATTCGTGCACATGGTTAAGATACTTGAGATCAATTGAATAAAAACTGTTTCGTAAAATGAATCATTTAATGCTTTTACTGCTCTGAACAAATTCATATCGAAAAATTTAATCAATTTTCATCAGCTTATGTTAATTATTATTATATATTCATCGTTTAATTATTAAAGCACTTACTTGCAAATCGAATGATGTTCTTTAATACATTCTTTAATATAATTTATTTCGTCGTGATATCCGAATGCTTGTATTTCAACAAGATTTGGTAATTTCAAAATCCGGTATTCCAGTATTTTTAAAAGGCAAGATATTCGTTGAATAAAATTAAATAATACACAGTCATAGCCAACCTGTACAAGGCATGTGCTACTATAACTAGATATTTGATGTACATAAGATAACCAAAAGCAAAGTGGAGTACTTCGATCGCACAATGCATAAGCGTCGATTACAAGTTGATAATCAGGATTTGGATTCATAATAGGTTTCGATGCATAACTAATGATGTTTACTATAACTGTGGATATACAGAAACGCGAGATATATCTAAAAATACATAATATATCTTTAAAATTTATTAATTATCTAATATATAAAATTCTTAGCATACACTGCCACACACACATATACGCATTATAGATATTCTCTCTCTCTCTCTCTCTCTCTCTCTCTCTCTCTCTCTCTCTCTTTTTTTTTTTAACAGAAGTGACTTTTAATTTTATAATTCATTTATTTATTATTGAATAATAAAACAAATCATAATGGCAATTATCAAATATTTACATTAATCCTTATAATAAACATATAGAAACAAAATAAACGATATTTTGATAATGATTACTTTTCTGCAGTTACGGATTTTTTGATAATCTTGGTTTCTTCAACATCGCGTAAAACTGTCCAAGGCACATCCATAAGAATTTGTAAAATATCAAGAATGTTTGAGCGTCTGAAGTATATATTACACACCTTACATAATCCATTGAAAATGGTTATTATAAGAAATAAGTTTTCGATTAAAAAGTAAATTGAATTTTCAGCATGTATGTTATGCAGTATTATAGTAATCATTAATAATAATACATTTGCTACGCAATATATTTCATAAATATCATAAATGACATTAAAGGGTTTTTTAAAAATTGTTGGCTTCCAATATCCAGATATTTTTAAAATCATAAACGATAATGGAAAGCCTCTGTCTTCTATACCAAAATCGTTAAATTTGTCACTTTTAATATTATTTTTAACATTCGTCATTTCTATTATGATATTTCTGTACAAAAGTATATAATATAAATATAATATTTACATATCATTCAAAATAAGCTGCTAGTGAGAGAAACATTTATATACTACGATAAATAAGAAAGTGACCAACATAAAACATGATACATTAAAATTCCCTCTATTGTCATCTTTGGCTAATAATTTTCTACTTGTCAGTTATAAATAATTCATACATTCACTACTTTGAAACGTTATGTAATATTATATAGAGTTTTTCTTTTTTAAAGTGTATACAAGTAGTATTACTATGGTTACAGAAGTAAAACGTACTAATAAATAAGAACATTTTGTAATTATTGAAGAATTTTGTTATAATGTGTAATAAAAATATTTTTAATACTATAGATAGACATTATTTGTATCAAATTCATGATTTATATTTTTTTTTTTTTTTTTTTTTTGCATGAAATACAATTTAATGGAAAATTAATATCCGATTTCAACAATTAATATTAATCCGACTAGCTTAAATAAAAGAGATCAAAATATAAAATAATATTAATATATAATTATTTTCAACTTAGCAATTATAAAGACAAAGGAAATAAATAGTTTCTATCTTATGATAGTATAATAAATTATATATTTACATTTTTTTTTAACATATACTCGAATAATAAGTGTGCTTATACTATCCTAGTTAAAATAAAAAGAAAAATTATTCTATAATTTTAAATTAGATAGTTTAAATTAAATATTTTATAAATTTACAAATTAAATTTTCATATCATCCATTATAAATTAAATCGCACGTAAATATGTTCGATTAAAAAATGTATTAAAAAATTAATTCGGTATTTTCCAAATAATAAATATATTTTTTATTTCATTGTTTTCGTTAATTTGCAACATATTTATACTTTTAGTATCATTTATATTATTAGTATCGGTATCACTTTACAGCCTACGTTATTCTTATTATTATTATTTATTATTCAATTAAAATATATTAACTTTTTTATTTACAAATACCTCGAGCTGTATACATCTTTTTATACGAATCCAAAAAGTATTAACAGTATATCAAAATTTCATTATGCACTATATTATTGATAATTGAATGGTCGAAAATAACTTTATTTGCTTTTTCAATATAAAATATTGCTATGCTATTTAATAACGAGTAACATGTGAAAAAAAAAATTACTTGCAGTTTTATTTAAAAGTGATAGTGAAAAGGTATGTGAGTATATAATATTTCAAAAGATTATATTAAATACAACTTTAATATATATATATAAATTACTTAATCTTTAAAAGCTTACTTTTTTTTTTAATTTATTCATTAATTTAACAAATTAAATATAGACAATAAATCTGGGTAATAAATCAAATAATTTAAAAATATCATCAATAGTTACAATTCTATATAAATTTCTTACTATATCTTAGTTACTAATAAAACATGTTAGTACAATGTTAAAAAAAAAATATATATATATATATAAATCTCGATGATAATACAATTGCCAAACATTATTTTATAAATTTGTACTATAAATAAATAAAGATTATATCATAAAATAATTGCTTATTTATCCATTCAAATAAGAAATTTAGAATTGGCTGAAAATATTATAATGGAATTTTGCTATAACAATCAAATGTTGAAAATAAAGTAATATATTATTATAATTAAATGTTATTAAAACAAATCGATTATTTTTGAACTGGAGGTACAATTTTTCTAAAGCATTTAGTACAATCGATCTAAATTAAAGTTTTTTTAAAAACAACTAATCAAGATATGACTGCAACGAATCTTCCAATCAAGTCGAATTTTGTTTGTTTATTTATTTATTTATTTTTTTTTGTTTATATTAGTTGATTAACATTTATATTAATAAATATTTTAACTTTAAACGTGAACTATTTATTTCTGTTTATAAAGGTAATATAAAAATGTCTAATTTACTATTTATGAATAATTTTATTGAGCAGCATTTCTTAAAATCATCTTAAAGATTTTTTGTTTAAGAATTCTTTGTAATTTAGATCCTAAGTAATGTTAAAAATAGTGTTGAATTATTTCGATTTTATAGAATACATTTTAAGTATTGTTGCTTATTTAAGTATAGTTAGTTGAATTTGGATAAAATTTTGTGACTTTCTTATACATATGATCAATTGTTGACTCCGTATAGCAATTTTTAATAAATATATTTTAATACCATTAAATGTCAAAATATTTTTATATTTTACATTATAAAGAATATATTCGGGTAATAATTGTTTCGTTCATTTTATCTTACTTTGTTTATAATGTTGTCATACACAAATTAATTTTCGTCAATAAATTGCATATTTCTGAATTAAATATTAAAGTTAATTAGGAGCTATTAACAAATGGCATATAAGGAATATATTATAAGGAAAAAGCCAAGAATGTATTCCATTTTATAACTTCAGTACTGCCAAAATTCGACTTGAACCAAATTATAATGAGAATTTAATAATTTTGTTGCTTGTCCATTATTACTTATATTATTATTAATATTGTATACTATTTATAAATGGATTAGATAAAAATCTAATAAAAAAGATAGTTTTTATTAATATGACTTATTATGTTTAATGACAATGCAGAGTGATAATTCTCAAGTCTTGTCGTACATATTGAAATCAGGGGTTCCTTATATAAATGTTAATTATAGAAAATAAAATTAAAAATTGACAAATAGAATGAGGTAAAATATATCAATCTATTAAATAATAGATGAAATTAAATTAAATAATAAATAATATTCATCTTTTATCAAGTAATACTACAAATATGTTATAATTATTAAGTATATATCTAACAACATTGTTTTACTAAATTTGCAGCTTGCTTGCTAATACAATATTAAATTAAAGATTTTCTGATTTAGAATGAAACTTACAGTTAAATAATAGATACTTTTATTAATATATATTCTTTGTAAATTGTAAATTCAAAGTTAAAAAAAAAAAAAACAAAAAAACAAAATTAATTTTTTGCTCTTGATTGCCTTCAATAAATTATTAAAAAGTATCGATTTCATTTTATTTATAGCGTATCTCGTATTTGCACTTTCAGTAGAATGTGATACTAATCTTATCACTCCATACAACTTCTTCACAGCTTACTAATATTTGCCATTAATAAAATGAAATGAAGCGATATATGAGCTGACAATTATATATTTAAACTAATGCATGTCGATGCAAAGCGATTAACTAATCTTTTAATTGATTGTGATTGATTTAACATTTTTCGCGACATCTATTACGTAATATTTTTTATATATAAAAAGATTTTATTTACTCTTTGCATAATTCAGAATTTCATAATTTGATTAACTATAAATAAATATTGACGTATTAATATTTTTTATCTCACGAGTTACGTAAGTTTTTCATAAAACATGTAAAATATTGTAAATAAAATCATAATCATGTCAATCGTAACAATCGTATCAATCGTAAATAATCATGTAAATAAAATCATTAACTTCATATGGTTACTCGACATCACAGTTGAAAATATATAAAATATATTAGTTCCAGTTAAAAATAGAAATTCATATTTATGTAATTTTGGAATAATCTCCTTATTGAAGTTCGGTGTCTTAGCTTTTACATAATTCAACTATACTCGCATGACGTAATTTGACAAAATAACTTTCATGCGTAGCAAAGGATGGTGCCGGTGACTTAGTCAAGATAGACAGTCGTTTTATCTTTTATCATTATTTATATTTGTCTTGGATATAATTCTCTTACTTCATTTTAAGATACAATTAATTCTGCATATAATGATATATGTTATTAAAAATGCATACATATATTCGTCTATCTTATATTATAATTATCAATATTTGTTTATATCTATATCAGATTATATTTTTAACACTATTTCATTATTTTTGTTATGATAAATACAATTACTTTGATTATTTAATTATTGTTTTGTATTAATATACATTCGCATCACTCGGGTCATATCCTGTCGATTATCATTAACTAATACTTATATGCTTGGCTCGTTGTCGTTAGCTTTTTTCAACTATTTTCTACTATCAAACTAGAAGATTTTCGTCTTATTTCATTTCTAAATTCTCTACGAAATTTTAACACTGGCCATTCTTCCGTTTGCATAAAGTATTTCTCAATTCAATGATAATTTGTATGTTTCATATTATAAAAATACTTGGGACTCTAATATTCCTGCATCTTAACTTTTTTTTTTTTTTTTTTACTTATTTTACTTATTTACTTATTATATATATACGTATGCGATACCTAACTCTTATTGTCGTTAAATTTTCCAATGCATTGAATTATTTAACATTAGATTAATACTCGACATATAACATACTATCTATCTGATTATTTGACGTTGTTTACCATTTGACAAATTAATTTATTAATTTCTTTATGTATTTTGCGATTACTTTTAAATTAATTCCTATCAACTACCTCGCACATAGTCTTTTCAGTTTCAATGAATATTGGCATAATATAACTTCATCATCAATACATATGTATAAGCTTGCACTATTTTATCTCGTGCTAATTAACTATATATGCCGTAGCGACACTTAAATATATTTATCGAATGATAAACCGCCGCTTTCACGAAAGTCATTTAATTATAACATAGAAAACGTGGAATGTATAGTCTCAGGAACCCGGGAACGGCATGCTAATTTATAATCAAATAGCAATTGTCCAAATAAGTGTAAAACAAATTGGAAAATCCATGAGGAAAGATACTTTGTTTTGTACATATGGTACTAATGCGATTATGCAAGCCTTCGCACGAGCATTCGACATGCAAGTGAAGACATTGAACACCTGTCACGGCTGTCAAAATTTGACATGTTGCTATATGTACAAAAATTCCACCATTACGCGTATTCGAGTTCGCCTCAACCTGATCCATCCATCGTGTATTCTATATTTCGATACTATACAAACAATATATTCCTCACTCATCACATTAGCACATTTCATATAAAAACTCAATACATTTTTATTGAATTTAACTGCTTTGTCGATATCTACAGAATTTTTTAAGATAATAGCGTCAACTACGAGATTTTACTCAATTGTTCTAAGATCATTCGACGTTGCATAATCTAAATTGAAAATTATTCTTTTACCTCGTTCATAACTAGTGTGATAAATTGACTGCTGATTGATTGAATTATTATTATTTACATTAGAATTGTAATACTTACTTTTGCGCACTTGCGCTGTCTGTGTCCTTTGTCATCTACAGCTTTCGAAAATAAATTTTTGGAAAATAAAAAATTGTACTATTTTTTAACTAAAATCAGTTTTTTAATTACTTATATTCAATTTCAATCTTTACCGAGCGTCTAACCGTTTGGATAAAATCGGTAATAGGATAAAACACGTTCGGTTACAATTTACAATTTACACTATTAAAAATAATTACCCATTTGATAAGGATAAGTGAATGAATGAAATGCATTTGGCCTCGGGGTAATACATAAAATGCCAGAGAAGTGTAGAATAAAGAGTGTTAATCATTTGGCTGCACAGCAATAGATTAACCATCAGCGAATTATTGATCGAGTGCACCGATCGAGTAAGACAAATTTATAAAAAATATAAATTTTACTTATATTTAGAGCTATCTAAGCGCATAATGAGTAAAATGGATTGGATCCTTCGGACAATTATGATTTCTCAAATTCAATGTCAAATGAAAAATCTTATTACATTTCTTTCTAATTTAACGTGCAGTTCGCATATGAATTTCACATATACTTCTTTTATAACTTTTTAAGGTATTTTTGTCTTTGTATTAATTATTGTATTTATTATTTATTATCGTTGCTTTTAATCCCGTAAATAGCTAAAAAAAAAAAAAAAAATTTTATATAATTATTGCAAAAACAATTAACTAACTTATAATATAGAAATTATTTATTATTTCTACCCCATTATGTTTTTAATTCTCTTTATTATGTTACTTGTAATTTTCATTTCCGCGTGGCTTGTTACGCCATTTCCCCATGTTGCATAATTCTTGCCCAGCCAGCCTTGTGACCATAACCTTAAAATTTATATTCAATGTGAATTGTCTCGGTCATTCTTATTTTTTTGCGTGTATGCATATTGAAGTCCGTCCGATAATATCTTTTTTTCCGATAATAACTTTTATTAGAATTTTAATGAAGTTATTAACATGAAATTAATTAAATAATATTCATCGTTATTTAATAAAATTTAATTGATATTGCTATTACTCTTTTATAAATAAGTGCGATATTATTAACGGTAATTTATTAAAGTTACACGGTGCATTAATGCATTTGCATTTTATATAATCAACAAAGTTAGTTAAAATGAAAGTATTTATCTTGTTAATAGCTATTTTAGGCATTCCATTTCATTAAGCGAAATGATTGCTTTTGTTATCACTTCGTATTGTGTCATTAATTAATAATTTATTTACATTATATGGTTGTATCGCTCGTTTTTTAAATAATATTAAAATTAACAACTTTATCACATAATGATTATTTTATTTATTAATATTTCATTTAAATATATTATACAAAATAATTGATTTGTTTATTATAAAATGGAACATTCACAATTATTTAAGAGAATAAATGATGAAGAGAATAATATATTATATGATTGTTTCCGTTCACCTTTATTTAATAATAAGTAATTATGAATAATTAATTGGCCTTTATAAAATATTATTATTCCTGAGTTAGTTTTAACACTTTATTGTTCTTTAAGGGACATTCGACATTAATTTTGCCTATCTTGCCAATCAAAGAAAGTAATTACTTTCTTCTTAATTATTATTTTATCGTCATATAATTTTTATGAAGAGCATCATTGTAATTAATGACAGCGCAATAGTATTTTCTTATAAACTGAACAATAATTCGACATTGGATACAGATGTGCAAATTTTGCTTGAAGAGAGAGACTTATTGGACTCCTTAAGAAGGCTGATTGGTATATGACAATCTCCAAACTCTTTTTCCCTTTTACGTTAAAAGAGTTAGCAGATTCTTTATATTTGACCTAATACCTCTATAATCACTTAATCACTTGTCGGAGATATTAATTGGCGCAGAGATGTAGTTATTTACCGATAACCCCATACTCTTATTCTATCATTGTTGCATATCAGTTCAATCCAAATAAACATTCGATCCAACAAGTTATTATCATTCTCAAAATTATATATATATATATATATATATAGTATATTTTTTATCATTTACTAAACTGCATTAAAACATTCCAAAATATAAACTATGCTATTGTTGCAAATAATGAAAATATATGTAATATTATAATATATAATATTACACGAAATATTTAAGAGACAAATTATATTTTTAAATAATTTTTACCGTGCATATTTAAAAACTTGTCACTAGAGGTTTTACCAATTCTAAGATGAGCGTGAAGATTTAAAAACTTAATAAATATATAAATAAATAATAAATTTTTATTCTAGTTAAAAATTGCATGAATATTCGGCGTAACATGAAAATTAATAACAAAAGTACATTTCACAAAAAGTATTTAATAGCTTAATTTGATAGGGTTATATAATTGGGAACTAAATTTTGACAAAAAATATATTTTACAGTAATCTAATCGTAGGATTGAAATAACGTATTTAAAGAAATAAAAATTATAATTATATTAATTTTCCACCGTTTGTTCTTTATTATAATTATATTATTTTCTATTAATTATTGTCAATGTTAGTGCACCGATGAAATAATCATTACAATTAAAGCAGATATTATGTAATACTTCCAGTTTTACTATTATTGTAATGTTGACCTCCTCTCATTTTATAGATTAATCGGTAAAGTTTATATCATTGAACAAAAATTTTCATCGTAGTGTTATAGTCTACTATTCTTTTATTCTGTTATTGAAAGTATCTAAATAAATAAAAATCCTAAAATATTAATAATTATAATAATAATAATAACAACAACAACGACAACGACGACGACGACGACGACAACGACAACAACGACAACAACGACAAGGACAACAACAACAACAACGACAACAATAAACAATATTTTAGAAGGAACAATTATTGTAAATTATAATATATTTTACTCTTAATTATAACAATTTAGGCATTACTAAAAAATGATTTGTGACCAAATATTAATCAGCTAATAATACATTTGTCAATGTGCATACAAATGAATTTTCATAATAATAATTATTTTAAATTAAAATTATATCTTGAGAAAATTCTTACAATACTAAATATATATATACATTAATCATATAAATCAAATACCATTAGATATATACTCACTGCAGACAACAAATATATTTATTATTACGAATGACGAATTATAATATGACTCAGTAAAAACTAGATATTACTTTCAATTTGTACTTAATTACGTAATCGTTTAAAAATACAACTATTTAAAAAATCATTTATATGCATATATATGAAATATATATTTTCTATCGATCGTGTTTTAATATTAATAATACAAAATACTAATCATAAACTTTGAATAAAACTTTTTCAAAATTCAAAAACAAGACTAAAAATTATTAAAATTAATTTTTATCATAATATATATTATTCAAATATTATTGATTCAAATTTATTTTGAATTGTAGTTAATCTAAAATAATTGATAAAGATTAAAAAATATCTATAGGACTATATCAATTACAAGTATCTTACAATTCTTCCGATACAATTCTTATAAACAAATTTGATAAATCATAATACATTGTGTATGATTAGACTCTGAATTATTAATAAATGAGCATATGCAATTTTATAATAATATAAATTCATTTACTACTCATTCATAAATAATGATAGTTTTAAGCACTAAATGCGCAGTGCCAATTATAAAATGAAATAGAGGGGGAACGGTAGCTTTGAACAAGAAGTAGAAAATCACATCATAACAGTTGATTTGCAAACGCAATAGTGAATTGTACGAATATATTTTTTCACGTTTATGAAAATTTAAAATGGAGATTTTCACATTAAGTTTATTGCTTATCGTGTGTTATTCATTATATTATTATTTCAATAAGCAACTGCGATTCTTTCACGATAAAAATCTTCCATATAAAAGTGGTTGGCCTTTGTTTGGTAATTTTTTCTATGCGTTTTTACGACGAAAACACATGCTGGACATTATCGAAGAAATATATAAAGTCAATAGTGAAGCAAAATATATTGGCGGATTTAATTTTACGAAACCCGTATTCGTAATACGTGATTTGGATCTTATTAAAAACATCACGATAAAAAATTTTGACCACTTTCAAGATCATAGGACATTCTTTGACGCTAATACAGATAAAATTATGGGCGGCAATGTTTTCAATTTGAAGGGCGACGTATGGCGAGAAAGTAGAAATTTACTCTCTCCAGTATTTACGTCGAAAAAAATGAAGGCTATGTTTGAGCTGATGGTCGACTGTGGAGAACGTTTTGTGAATTATCTCGAAAAACAATCCGAAGAAAGTAGAAAAATAGTCGATACGAAGAATTTGTTTACAAAGTTCACAAATGACGTAATAGCAACATGTGCTTTTGGGATAACAGTAGATTCATTGAAGAATCCTGAAAATGATTTTTACGTTCTTGGTAGGAAAGTAACGAATTTTGAAGGACAGCAAATGCTTAAATTCCTTATAGCTGGAGCATTTCCAAAATTAATAAAATGGTTGAAAATAAAATTCGTTGACGATAAAACGAGAATATTTTTTGAAAACATCGTTAGCACAACAATAGCACTAAGAGATGCAAAAGGTATTAGCCGGCCAGATATGCTGCAGCATCTAATTGACTCGAGAAATAAAGATTACAAACATTTTACATTGGACATGACGTATATAACGGCTCAGTTATTTATTTTCTTTTTTGGCGGATTTGAAACGACTTCGTCGCAGATGTGCATCATAGCCCATGAACTAGCAATTAACCCTGATATTCAAAAGAGGTTACAGAATGAAATCGATAAGGTTTTGGAAGAAACTAATGGACGTCCAACATACGAGGCCATTACTGAAATGGCATATCTCGATGCTATTTTCAATGAGTCATTAAGATTGCATACGCAAGGTGGTATTATCGACAGAGTGTGCACAAAAGCTTTTGAGCTACCCCCGGCTCTGCCAGATTCTAAGCCATTTTCCATGCAACCCGGGATGAATATTTGGATCCCAGCAAGTGCAATACATCGCGATCCAAATTATTATGAGAATCCAACGAAATTCGATCCCGATAGATATTTCCAAAAGAAAGTCTCGATCAACGATGTTTTTAATTTGGGATTTGGAATTGGACCACGAAGTTGCATTGGCAATCGATTTGCGTTATTAGAAACGAAAATTCTTATATTCTCTTTGCTATCTAAATTTAATTTGAAGCCGAACGCGAAAACTTGTAGTCCGTTTAAATATAGTGCCGTAGTATTTAACATAAAGCCAGTCGGAGGATATACTTTATCGATTGAATGTCGAAATAAATAAATTTCTAATTCATTCAATTTATAATGACACATTTTACACACACTTGGTATTCGTATATTTATTTTACAAATACTTTTATATTAAAGCTACAAACGTAATTATAAAATTCTCACTAATAGCAAATTAAAAATTAGAAAATATCGTTTAAGAATTGTATAGCTTAGTAATAATAAATTATTTCGTAGTGATTTAATAGCATTGAAATTAAATATAAAGAATCATTATATTTGTAAACGTTCAAAATTGTTTACTTAATGTAATCAGTAATAAATAGAAAAACTATCTATATAGATTTTACATTTTATTTCACCTGTCTAATTACTATATTCATTTGCATTAATAATCACTTATCAAAACATTATTGAAGATAAGCTTAAAATTAATAATGAATATGATATTAATATAATTTTGGTATCATATCGTTAATTTGAAAAATAAATAATATATGTAATTTATATGTAAATAAATAATGTAAATTAATTCTTGTATATAATTTAGTTGTTGTTAATTAATATGAATATAATAATAGATGTTTTTATTTAAATTCCTTAATTTGTATAAAACCCTTTTATTATAAAAATTTTATGTACATAATTAAAATTAATTTATAGTTTTAATTAATTATATAAAATTAATATGCATGTGAATGGACATAAGATATTAATCTTTTAAAAAAATGATTTGTCGTGTAACAGGAATTTTTTAGATAATTATAAAGATCGATAAATTAGATATATATATATATAATTATTATAAGGATTAAAATCATTATTTGTATTCAATTAAATCACGCATTCTGTCGATCGAGATATAGATCATTGCTGTCATATATTTTTATCATATCATCAGACTTACGGATCCGACTGTTGTAGCAGTTAGATTAAAATAAATTTATTACACAATTTTATTACGAATGAGCATCGTTCGATACTTTTATATATCCATTTAATAGCAACCAACAAATCAAAGATATTTGTAGAAAAAAACTTTTTACAACACTCGGTAAAACATAAGAAAAATGATGAACATATTTCAGTATCGAGTTATTAATTTTTCATTATGCTTTCTTGAAGTTTTAAATAACCTTTAATTATACTCTTATTACAAGAATTTTTATAGAAACTATAAAAATTTTATTATCCCTTCAATTCTTAATAGGTGATTGATTTTTCCATAATGTAAAATATTTATCTTTATAATAAGAAATTTTGCTTTAAATAAAGTACATAACGAACTCCACAGAGTATACATTAAACTTGTAACAATCAAAATTTAAATACATATTATTATTATTATTATTATTATTATTATTATTATAATCATAGTAATTAAAATACTTACTGAATCTAAATATTGTATTTTGTAAATACTTTTTATTTACGAAAAAATATAGCCATAATTATATCCTATATTGACTTCTAAATATATATTTAATCTGCAATCAATTGTCATTTAAATTTTTTACTCTTAACAAATTAAGACCATACAATGGTTATTTAATTGCGTATTCAAGCTCTTGAAGTTTTATTTCACATCGACTATATCGACGTATAATACAAAGGCAGTGAATTTTATTAACGTAAATGGAAATATAAAAACGTCAATTACTTAAATATTCTACTATTCTGTGAAGATGTTTACATTTATTATTAGACATATTCGAAATCTACCACAACGTAAGATATTATTAAAATTTGAATCGATTGATAATTAATTCATAATATTCATAATTCAGTCGATATTCAGTCGACCGATGAGATAACTCATCGATCCAAATACTCCGATTATTGTTAAAAATGTAATTTATAGCGTCCCATACGTAACAAAATAAATAAATATAGTCTTAACTCAAGTATACATAAAACCTTTCGACAAATATACATACCATTTTAATCACACATTTATACGATCAATTTTCTATAAAGATTAATTACTGCTTGATGAAGTATCAATGACATGTTGAAAATTGTCATACTTAACCGAAGTTAAGTGCTTACAGTTTAACGATTAAATCTTGAACGAATAAACATCGATTTAACAGTATTTTTCTAGCATTAGTTCAATGAAACGTAAACGTACGATTATCCGGTCGTTCAAATGAATTCAAACAAATCACATTGCCCTGATAATTATTATGTTAATCCAATGAAATTCGATCGACATAGCTATTTTCAAAGAAAAATTATCGATCGGCGATACTTTTATTTTGCAATGGGACCATGAAGTTGCATAGAACATCGATTTAACTTATTACTATCTAAATTGTATTTGAATTTAACTGGATAAACTTGTAATCTATTTTAATCCGTAACTTTTATAACTACTAATATTACAACACATTAGGCAAAAAATATATTTGTGTCAATCTGCTGTCTGGAGTAGTAATTATTTTACAATTTTTATGGCATATTTTATGTATGTAATTATTATCCTAATATTGCATTCGAGATTACAGAGATTAAATATGACAGATGAAAATAGTAATTATGCATTTATTCCAAAATTATACTATTCAAAGGATTTTTTAATAATTTTTAGATTTATTTAGCTAAGCTCGAGCTCAAAAATTTCTTTACAGTTAACGTTAAGGTCATGCGCACTTTAATACCGAAAAACTGCAATTTTATTTATTTATTAATTAATTTTTTTTTTAATTCTATCGTTTTATTTACAAAAATTATCAAATTAATTATTAGTTGTAATAATATAAGTTGTAATAATTCTTAAGGGAAGATATATTGCATTATGTGAAAAGCTAAAATAAAATAAGTTCAAATTGAATTGGTACATATTCATTCATAGTAATTGCAATAATAATACATTTTAAATCATGACATTATTTTATTAAAACAATTTTTTTTTTCTTTTTTTTTTTAATAAAATCAATCGTTTCTACTAAAACATATAAGAACTAAAAATTAAACAGCAATTTTATATGAAAATATATATTGGATTATGAAATTAAACTATCCCATCCATAAACGAACTACCTGAGCGTCTTTTTCTCTTGATGGTAAATACGTAAAATATGCTTGTTTAAAAATGATATCTGGAAACTTTCCAAATTCCATTAATGGCCATACATCACGACTGAAATTTAGAATATCCTGTCGTAATTGCGTATAAAATTTCAATTTGTATTCTGCAATCTATTAAATAAAAAAAAAAAACATTTATTTTATACATAAGATAGTTTACATTAATATCGATCAAAATTTACTCGTTGTATTAAATATTCTTATAACAAGCACAAAGTAAGAATACTATTTAATATAAAAGAATTTTTTTTATTGTTTTTATTATATTTCTATATTATAAGGCGAGCTATGTTTGTCTTTAGATATAGCTTTTGTGAAAAATCTCTGTTTAAAAATACGATGAACTTTCGAAACCAATAATTAGAATTTATTATTAAAATATTTAACTTGAATAATACGAAAAAGAAGAAAAACACACTTTGTTAAATATATCAAATTGTATCGGATGTAAAACTGCAAACATGAGACCTTAAAAACGCATTTATAAACCTTATTTTATTTAAAATGGATTTTCTTTTAATGATATAAAAAGCACTGCTTCTACAATCATTTAGCTTTAAATATTTTAATAATATTTTATTCATGAATAACTGTAATTTATTAATATTTAATGAGTCTATCTAGAAGAAGAAAAAAACATCATAAATAAATGTGAATCAAGTGTTAATAAATTTTTACATTCACAATTTTTTATTTATTTATTCAAAACTTAACTTTTCATTCGTAAAAATAAATTTAAATTTTATCGTACCTTTTTTTTCCAATACATTGCTTTATTAAAGTTAAGTGTTTTTTTATCTTCCTTTTTCACCATTATAATTGGTGGGATATTTTTTCGGCTTATTCTTTCATTGATTATAGACCATTTATTTTTATCTATGGCTTCCTCCATTGATTCTTCTATAAAATTTTAACAAATAATAAAACGAAATATCAATATTGGCGCTTTACAGTGATTGAAAACATTCGTTAATGTCCGACTGACATGCTGTTTTAATGATATGATAAATGTCTATAAATTTAATGTACATGAAAGTATTTATATAAAAAGTAACAAATGTTTTAAATAATCAGGGAAAAAATACACTGAGATATAGATGATTTACTTTGACTTCCGATCAAGTACATTCCCTTTGTTCTATATGAAATCCAATATAAGAGTTGAGGCATCTTGTAGAAACCTGGAAGCTTGACTGAGATAAAATCTTCGGTTGCCATTTTTTCTAATTCATGCTATCGAAATGATATACTTTTCAGTAAATTTATATTAATTAATTGACATATATGTATATATTAATGTTATTGGCTATTTCATTATTGCTTATTTAGTTATATTTACGCGCATTTGAATTTTTAATTCTTCTTCTAAACGATCGTAAAAACTTGGACTTCTTTTCATTTTCGTTGTAGATTTCAACTGAGACGAATTACCGTTCAAAGTATTAATTATGTTTGTATCAGGATTCGTCATATTATTTTCAATTCCACCATAATCTTTGTGCTCATCCTGTATTCCCATTAATTGATTAGTATCGCCTGAAAAAAGCTTCTTTCTATCTTTGGAAAATTCATTTTTACTTAATAATACATTGTGTGATTCGTCTACTTTGATGGGTAAATTTTCCGTCATTTTATCACTCGTGTCACTTTGATACGAAATATCAAAGGAATTATTATGACTATATTTACTTTGAACTGGTGTAACCACTGGCGTTTGCATTGTAATAGAAGAAATTTCTACTTGCGCTTTAATCGTTTTTCCTGTATCTTCAATTCCAGAGTATTTCATTACTGTATTGTTACTGTTTGAACTCTGTGTGGCCATTAAATTCTGACTCGGTGATGCGGGCATCGATGTATCAGAAATACGATTAAGAGATTTTACACGATTTTGACGATATAGCCGATTTCTTTGTTCCTCATTTTTCTTCATTATTTTTCTTTCATATTTACATTCGCATACGGGTTTCATAACTCTTAATTGTCTTATTTTTTCATTTTGCTTTGGAAATTTGGAACATTTTTTTGAACACGAAACTTTAGCTTTCTTTTGTGTATAAAATTCTGATAGATATGGATCGTTAAATGAATTTTCCCAATCTTGAGAACGACTCGTCGTTGCGTTATTATTTGCTTCTAAATTAAAAATAAATAATTAATGTGCAAATCGATAAAAAATAAAAAAGAAGAGCAAAAAATTGATATTTAATTGGTTATATAATCTTGTCCATGATGAAAATTATGGATATTTATCCATAATAGAGACTGCTTGTCCAATGGAAATCTTATTGAATTTAAATAATTCTAGGTTTTACAATTATTAATAAATGTAAAATATTAATTAATTAATTAATACGTTTAATTTAACATCAATACCTTAGTATATATTGTATTAACATGATATGTAATAAAGTAAAATAAATTCGTTTTACATATGCAATGAGTTTAATGAAATTTACATTAATTAGCGTAGATTGAGCAATTGAAAATGAGCAATAATAAAATATCCGGTGTGAGATTCTTTGAGTTGTAATAATAAAATAACAGTAAATTTTAATTATCTCATGATACGATAAAAATTCTACTTTTCTATGAATAAAGAAAAATATCGATGACAATGATGATTGTGTATATAAATATATAAACGTTGCATGAAGGTGAGTTTATTAAATCAACACGCCATATTCCAACTTTCGCAAATTACAATAAATAATAATCGACTAAGTTAACAAAGTGCCTTTCGTGACCATCGAACAAATCGTATTTCCAATACAGTCGATATATTTTATACATGAGATAATTCATCGATCCAAATACTCCGATTATTGTTAACAATATAATTTTTATAGCGTTCCATACGTATCGATATAAATAAATGTAGTCTTGGTTCAATTATGCATAAAACTTTCTGTTTTAATGATCCGTAGACAAGATGAATTTTATTGGAAGATTAATTACCAATTAAGGATCAAGGTGGTATTGAAAAAATTCACACATAACTGATATTACGTGAACTTTAGTACTTACAATTTGACGCGAAAATCTTACACCAATAAACATCGCTACAACAGTATTATTTTATTAATATTGGCTCGATTAATTATTATTATTATTATTCATTTACCCAATCGTTGAAATAAATGCAAGCAAATCACATTACCGACACCGAATAATGAAAAGCTCATCGCTTTGCTTTTTCTCTAATTACCTTTATTATCACTGCAAGTCAACATCTTCGTAGACACTTTACACATCTTGTCATATGGCGAGTCATAAAGCTCGTACTCTGGAACATACTCTTCGCTCCGCCTGATACTCGGCTCCGGGGATAGCCACGTCACACCCTCGATTACCCGTGGCAAGGAATCCTTCTGCGGTGGATCCTGGCGATTGTTCTGGCTTTCGTTTACCATACCTCCGATATTATACAAAAGTATTTTCCGATTGTTACGATTCTCTCGACATTTACAGGTGGACTTGCCATCGGCAGTCGGTATTGAACAAAGAGGATATTTTGGTGGAACGAGATGAGAAAGCGTGTATTCGGTAGGTAGTTCCTCCTCTGATTTTGTTTTCCAACCGTATGGACCACCATTGGTTGCTGCATTTTGAACATTGTTTATAATTTAATTAGAAATTTTAAGGTTGGTGGAAACTGTAGATTAATTATATATATATATATATATATATATATATATATATATAGATATAGATATATAGATATATATTTTTTTTTTTAATCCTCTCTTGAGCAATTGTCCTTTTTTTTTTAATGTTGGATTTCTATAATAATAATCGTGTTTGTGTATTAAGCAAACGGTAAAAATTATTCATTTACATTTGATCTTATTACAATTCATGCTAACTAATACCAAGACAATATATTTTAAAGATTTATTATTAAAGAGGTTTAATACAACTTACATATATATTTCAATGACGACGATTTCATTATCTCTTCTTCTGTGTTTTTATCAAAATTGTCGCCCTTAGATGCATTTTTTTCCATCATTTTCTTCTCTAATTGACAATATTCTTCGTGTTTTTCAGCATCAAGTAAACTAGCGGTTGACCTTGTAGATACTTGACTATTGTTTGGAACTATCTTGATTTCTGCACTGTCAGTAGTTTGATTTTCTGTTTGACTATGAATATTCGTCGATTTAATTGACAATTTTTTTGACTCATTTTTCTCTGTAATCATTTGTTTATTAAAAGTTTCTTTCTTAGGTTTTAGACAAGTCATTTTATCAATATTAAATTTTAAATATTCCGATAAACTGTGACACGAGCATTCATCGGCAATTTCCTTTCTTAAATTTTTATTATATTTCGTCAAGTTTGTCTTCCTAATGGGAATAATCGAGCATTTTGCATCAACTTTTCTTCCGCACCTTTTACATATTCTGTAAGGACCCTGTCGATATAATTATAATTATTTTAACATAATTTTAATTTATTATGCTTGTAGAAATAATTGAAAAAAAAGAAGAAGAACTTTAATAATAAGTATATAATAATACAAATATAAAATAAAAAAAAAAATTTTAAATAAAATATTAATAATATCCTATTTAAGTATTAACTCTTTATTTATTATAGAGTTCACTTTTTTACTATTTATAATATTTCTTTATATTAAAATTCTATACTTTCGCTTCGCAACTGTATTCTTGAATGTTTTCGAATTCACTTTTTATGCTATTCGGATATTCGGCTTCGTCATCCAAACTACATTTTTCAAATTCAATTCCACAACCACAGGTTGCATCATTATTCATCATGTATTTATCGGAATTATATTCTTTATATTCATAATCCTCTTCAACTGGCTCGTTCTTTTTAAATTCCTTACAAGAATACGCAGGACCTTCATCGGGGCGATACTTTCTTCCGTAGCACATATCTGCATACTTATCTTTAACAATAATCTCTTCATCGATTTCGTTCTCCTGCGCGTCCTTAGAGCAAGCGCAAGGTGGAACATTTCTAATTTCAATTGTGTTAATTTCGGGACGTAAAGTGTGATGGGGCACGTGCTCAATGGCTTTCGAAATGCCTTCGACTTGTTTTACTGTTTCACCATCAACCGTAGTTGCGGTACCAGTAATTATAACATTTTTTACAAGCTTCTCTGAGGAAGGGATACGAAGGGGTTCCCCAATCGATGAGATACTCGAAGCTGGCGAATGCATTGCCGTTGCACCGATTACTTGCCTTAACATAACATTTGTAAATTTTAGATATTCGGATATGTAAAGAAAGGAAATTATTAGTTATTTATTCTATTGGATGGTAATTTAACTAAATTAGAGAACTGCTAACTGTCTTATTGCAATAACAACAATTTATAAAATCTAATTAAAGTATTTTTCAATAATTAGGTTATTATATAACAATGTATCTCTCTCTCTCTCTCTCTCTATATATATATATATATATATATATATATATATATATTATTTGTTAAAACTATCAAAAAAAAAACTCTAATACATATGCATGTATATAGTATATAATATAAAAAATGTTTAATATTGATGAAAATTTTACAAAACTTTTTGACATTACGTTTTATCGTCTTTAACGGTCAAGATAGAATCAATCATTAAATGAGGTGATTTCGTGTTATGTAATTTAATTTCTGTCTTCTGCGTCTGTTCACATACGCAACATGGACTACATTTCTGATCTGATTCAAAAATCTCTTTTGCAATTGCTCCGACTTTGCAAGTTAACTTGTCAACGTCATCTGTCACCTTATACAAATTCGATTCCAAACCCAGTAAATAGCTTTGCATTTTCACTGATAAATTTTTCCGACCAGAAGGATAATATTTTTTCTTATTTTCGTATCCCAACTCATTGAAAAAATCTTTATCCGTTTTTACCGGTCCCACTTTTTCCATTAATTTACGATATTTATAAGGACACGGACTAGGAGGGTTTGTCCAATCTGTAATTTTCATTTGTTTTAACATTTTATTTTTTGTAATAAGATAATTTTTGATTATTTTTTTCTAAAGTAACATTATTTTTCAAATAAAATAATCTATTTGCTTGAGGAACGACGAATGTATCATTCATATAAGCATTAAATAGATATTATTTATAACAAATCGTGAATTATTTGTAAATAAAATTTTAAAACGAATTCAAAATAAATGTATTATCCATAAATTACCGATTTAATATTAGTAGAATTTGCAACAAAAACAAAAAAAAAAAGAGAAAAAAAAAGATAAATATTTTTATAATTTTTAATAATTTTCCATTGCATAATTTGTTTAATAAAAAGAGACTTGTTTAGAATATTAAAAATTTAGTAGTGATATATGTGTAGTATTATTTTCTAATTCAGATCAAACTCTTACGTATTATTTAATATATATAAACATATATTATGAAAACAAATGTATTGCATTGACTGTTAATGTGCTTATAAATATTTTATATATTACCTTGCATTGAAAATGAGTGGATATCTTGTTTATATTTGGCATCAACTGATGAAAATTCTTGAAAATTAACATCACTACTGTTATTAATATCTTGTTTTTTATTTTTATCCTCTAACCCACTACTTGTCTGTTCTATGGAATTTATTCTTTCAATATGCTTATCATCTTTGTTCTTTTGTGGAGTAATAGACGTTCCTTTTCTTTCTCCTTCAGCTGTTGCACGTTTATCGTGAGTATTTACTATTTTTGGTAAAATTACAACAGGTCTGATGGATGTTGAACATTTGATACGCCATTTTTCCAATTTTACCGCATAAGCTTTCCAATGTGGGGGCATAAGCAATTTTTCAAGATACGGGGAAATCTTTTTTATTGGCCGACGTACTCTCGGTGGTTTTGCTAGATATTACACATTGTATGTTAATATTATGTTCAAAAATTAAACAGTGTATTTTAAATAATGTTATGTTTAATTACGTTTTGCAAGATACGTTCCTTCATGAACTGGTGGCAAACGTTTTTGCAATTCTAAAATAATTTTTGGTAATTCCAAAAATGCGATTCCCGATAATATAATTCTTTCCGTACAATTATAACGTTCTAAAATAATTTTTGAAGCCGGTAAGATAATGATAACGAGCAGTTTATAGAAACACTAATTTTATTGTATAATAATGTATTATACTGTATATATATTGTATATATTGTATATATATATATATATATATAATACCATATATATATATAAATAAATATATAAATAAATATATAAATATAATTAATATATAAAATATATATTAATAATATAATATTGTATAATAAAATAAAAAGCTGAACTCACTAAATTCTTCATTTTCGAAATAATCGCCACTTACGGCTTTATAAATTTCACATAAAAATCTAATTGGATCCGTATTATATTTATTAAGATACTTTCTGACTATTCTTGATTCAACTTTTAAAGTATCGGTTATTATCCCTATATTTGATAAAGTATTCAAAGTTCTAAAAGTCGTTTGTTCTTCCTTATCTTGAAACATTGTATCTTTTAATTCCTTTAAATATTGTAACTAAAATTAAAGAAAATATAAAATGAATTTCCATTTATTAAATTGCTGATATTTACCGGCTTCTACAGCCGGCTGTACTTCACCTGTAATAGAGAAAACTCCGTGTACCAGAAAGGGAAACCAGTAAATTTTTTCAACTTTTCTTTTAAACTTTTCTCTATAATTTTAAAATTCAAAATTAAAAATGTAAAAGTATTGTAAAAAATTTGGATTAAAAAATATAATTTTACTCAAATACATGTGCTTTGAATAAATAATATTAAATTAACGTTTATTCTTTTATCTATTAAATTAATTTGTTAAACATCGTAAACATTATTATTGATAAAATTAGTCATTGTAACAATAAGCAATATTTCGCTATTAAAGAACACTTTTAACTTTTGATTTTATGAATTCTAATTAACAATGAAATAATTTTGATAAAAACAGAATAAAATTTATCTGAGCTAAAGTATAAACTTCTGCTTGTGCTTACGTTTTTTTTTGCCAATATCAGCCCATGTATTCAATTTTTTTTCATATTCCAATTGTCGCTGCCTTCTCATGTCAGCATTCATGATGCTTTGACTTTGTTAACCACGTGTAATTGAAAATTGCTCGGACCTCAAAAATGTTGGAAACCGAGTTTCTACTTGATATTCGAATTTATGAAACAATAAATATTTGAATATGACCAAGTGAAGTGATAATAATATTTTACTACATAAGCTTGCGCGTAAGCTTATAACTTATGAAATAAATAAGTATGAAAATTTATAACGCTGGTATATTACTTATCAATTCTTAAAATAATTCGATCAGTCGGAAATTATAATCGCGTTGCATGAAATTTCATTTAAAAGTCTTCGTTTAGAAATATTTTTAAATTTTCCACATATGAACAATAAATATTGTATATTAAATTTTCTTTATTAATTTCAGTTTATATTGAAATTAATAAGCGAGCTGAAAAATTGAAAATATACATTATGACAAAATTATATTAATATAATGCTTATGTAAAAAAAAATATCATCGACAATTGTATTTATAATGCTTACTATATAGACTTACTATGAATTCTATCATAAATGAACAATTTGGTTAGTTTAAAAATAGCAGGAATAACTATTCCGTATACGTGCTGTTAAAAAATTTTTTTTATTCACAAGACAATGTGCACTTTAGAATTTTTTATCGATGACCGTTTCAGATTTTCGCATTATAGATTTTTTTTTATTTACGCCAACATTTGAACTGATTTGAATTTTCATCCCATTCGTTCTGACAGTTTGAACTTCTGCTCATATTATTGCGCATGTGCGGTATCACTCGTCGTCTCATCATAATCATTTCATTCTTGATGCAAATGACATTCACACGCATCGAAACTCACAGGTACAGTAGCTGCCGGTCTGGCTAGAGTTGAGATTATAAATTGTACAACACCTTGTAAGATATTTATTTGATGCAAAAGTAAGCCAAAGCCTTCCTTTCACACATTCGCTTCTTTATTAACGAGATGTAAATTACTAATGGCAAAGCTTAGATCTGTGATCTGTGTTGAGTGAAACGACTAATGAACGAACGTCACGGCTATTCGACTTTCGTTACGTACGCAAGAATTTTGACAATATTCTGAATGTTTATCAGTGAAAGTACAAATAGATAATAGTAAAGAAAGAAAGTATCTATATTTGTCTTAATTTTTTTACAATTTAACTATGCCGCCGTTTTCATTTATACCGGATTTAAAAGAAAACAAACAATTATTATTAAATGCCTTGTATCCTGACAAAAAAAAAAAAAAACCCCAACACTCGTGACTTATAAATAATATTAATATTATACGTCTGTACGATCTATCCTTTAGTTACAAAACAAAAACAAAAACAAAAAACAAAAAAAAAAAAAAAAAAGTATCTTTAAACAATTTTTCAGAATATTATTCGTTCATGTAATTAATTATGCAAACGATGAGAAAATGTATTTTACCAATTATAACAGATAGTAAAGAAAATGTTATTATTAATTTAATTAACTGATTATACGATCTGTGGCATCGTAACGTTTACCGTATAACCTGGTATGGTATGTGAGAACCAAGTGAAAACATTATTTTATGTTTGAAATATTGAAATAGAAAGCGTGTATGAAGAAAAGGTCAGCGCTCGATTAGGAGAGCGTAAAATGTCGTTTAACTTCATTTTGCAATATCTTTCGTGACAGACAGATAAGTTTTGCCTTCGTAATCCATGGAGTTTTCGTAGCCTATGCTTTGGACATCAATTTCTTAGACTCGATTATTATTAATCTTTGATGATTAAAGAAGAAGCCGGTGCGTGAAATCGAAGGCTCGCCTTACTTCCTGCTAAATTAAAGTATTGTGACATTTTGGTCTGATTGTTGAGTCGATGTAGTTAATATATTTTTATATAGTGGATGATTTTGTTTCATTATGCATAAATATTTCGTTAATCTAATAACAATAACTACTTGAGTTACAGTACTTATTACACTTTCGATAAATTTATATATTTGAATATAACGCTAGCATTTTATCATAGTGTTTAATAATCCATGACATTTATTACTTCAGCTGTTTGAAGTTCCAAGCGAGTCCACCAACAACATTACTAATTAATATAAATATTATATTATTAATTCATCACAATATCACTGGTCTTGGGAGTATAATCGTCAAGTACAGTAGAAAGAGAAATACAGAATGCTGTTTTATCGTACCGCGTGCTACGTTCGCAGCACGCTCTCCGATGAAAGCTACAACAACAACAAGAAAGAGAGAGAGAGAGAGAGAGAGAGAGAGAAGAGCAGCCACCCGGTGGTACTATCCACCTATATATCGATTGTGTTCAAAAGCAGCAACTTCAGTAAGCATGAACGAGAGTTAGAGTGGGGGAGGCGGCGCAATAATGTAAGTGCGCGCGTCGATGGTTAACCGCCATCTTGGCAACCACATGACCTCGTTACCGTGTCCCGTGACCAGCTCACGTGAATTTTGACAAAATTCAAACGCTTTTTTCGCTAAGAGAAGGAAATGGATATCCTAGAACAGCATCTCGAGCAGCAGGATGTGAGGTAATTGCGATATTGGTAGTGAGCATTATTTCACTTCATAAAAAGCACCTTAACGATGTCCCTCTGGACTCCTTGACTCTTCAAGGTCATTTTATAAACGTGCCTATGTGCGAGTGCGCATTTTCCTTTGCTTTTCATATCATTCTCTCTCTCACACACACACACACACACACACACACACGCGCGCACAGTCTCCCTCTGTCTCACTCCAGCACCCTCTCTCTTAATATCTGCATTTCCCTTTTACACGATCTTAACGTCTCTCTCTCTCTCTCTCTCTCTCTCTCTCTATCTATCTATCTATCTCTATCTCTCTCACCATATGCACAGATATTTATATATATATATATATATGTGTGTGTGTATCTAGCTCTCTAGCTCTATCTCTCTTCATTTACTCACTGCACATTCAATTTTTCTTTTTACTCGTCTATATGCACATTTGCATTCGTTTTATTTTTCAAATTATTTTCAAATACCTGTATATGAGTACTCTTGCCATTCCATAATTTTAAGACTGTTTTTAATATTGTATACATTTCATTTGATATACAATAGTGCTGTAACCAAAGAAGAACACAATTCAAGCATTGTCATCGAGGAAGCCGAGATCGTTGACTGTGACGGTGAGTTTTATAAAATACTTATGCTAGGTTTTTTGTATATGCTTCATAATACATTAAGAAAACAGTTTATGAAAACATAAACAAATCATCAATAACTGAGCTCAATTTATTTGTTAATAATAATTTAACAACATTAACAAATAGGATTTTAAAGTATTAATAATTTGTAAAAATATTGACTTTTATAAGAATGAAGAATTTTGATTATCTAATCAATATTTGTCAATTTCAAACAAGAATTACCATAAGCATTTCAATTTGTAAACAAATTATTTGTTAGTGTATCATTTACCAAAAATTTTGATAAAATGTTATTTAATAATTTTTTTTTTATAAATAATTAGATATGTAAATTAAATAAAATATTATGAGTAAATTTTAATTATCAGTTAAAATATTTAGTGACAAAAAACATAAATATATATTTTCTAGGAGATGCCGTTGGAGAAGATGGGCTACGCTATCAAGAAACACTTGCATATAGGGTTGTCCAAGTTAATGGAACCCCCAATAATGAAATTGAACTACCCGTAACACAGGCACCACTGCAGGTACTGACATCACCAATAAACGGTCAATTCTATGTTATTGGAAGTGCAAACGATGTTTTTACAACTGCTCAAACGTCTAGATCTGTCATAGCACCAAGAGCAACAGCGACTCTTCAAATAGAAACACCTCGTACATCTTCGACGGGTTTAAAAAAGGTATCAAGAAATATAATTAATTAATATTCTTTGAAGTTTTACAAGTTAAAATTTAATTACAATCAATTTTTAGAGAGACGATAGGCGAAGAGCTACGCATAATGAAGTAGAACGTAGACGTAGAGATAAAATTAACAATTGGATCGCAAAACTGGGAAAAATTATTCCAGAATGTAGTACCACAACAAACGGTAGTGGAAGTAGCGGAGAAAGCGGTGGCAAAGCAAATTATGAAACTCAGGTATTTATTAGTAATATTGAAGCTAATTTTGCGCTTGTATAAATGCAAAAAAGTTTTTTTAATCTAATTATGTTAATAATAATTCTGAAGAATGTTTTAAATATAAAAAATTATTAAACAAAAGTATTTAAATAACTTAACTAATTTATATGAAATAAAGTGGTAAATTCATACAGATTTATAACAGTGAGTAATTTTTCCACAATAAAATATAATTTTTCTTTAATATTTAATATTCATAAATATATATTTTATTTTACCACTATAATTGACCAACGTATAATCTGATTTTCAATTTTATATATACTCTAATATAAACACAAAAGATTTTAAGTTCTTTGGCTAATTTAATCTAAATTATACTATAATTAAATATGATTTTGAAGTTATATTAAAGTATTCAAATTAGTAAAATATTATTGTCATAGTAAATCAATAGATAAAATTTATAATACATCTTATACTATTATATTTTTCTTTATGAATGTTACAAATAATAATAATAATAATAATAATAATAATAATAATAATAATAATAATAATAATAATACAAATACTAATAATAATACAAACTCCTGTACATTATATTATTATTATTTTTAGAGTAAAGGAGGAATCTTAGCCAAAGCATGCGAATATATAGCAGAACTTAGAGCCGCTAATCAATCTATGGGACAATGTTTGCGTGACAACGAGAAACTTCGTCAAGAGGTAACAGCATTAAAGCAAGTGGCAGCCCAACTTAGACGAGAAAATTTACACTTGAAATCACAATTACCAACAGCTCAAGAAGTAACGGATGTTCACATACTTCCTTAATTAATTAGCTCTACTTATCAATTTTTCTGTATATAAAGTGCTTGAAGCATTCTACTTCTTTTCTCTCATAGCAGTACGACTTTGTTTACAAAAAATAAAATATGAATTATGTCATTGTCTACTTTAAATTTAGACGATTAACCAGAACTCGTATCATTGTGCATAGCATTTTTAAAAAGTTCTATTTTTAAATGAAGAAAAAATCGCCTTAAATTATGATGATAGTTTCTAGATATGATAAAATTGTTTAATATTTTTATTAATTAAAATTTGTATAAGTTCTATGTTTGACATTAACTGAATACAATTATTAACATTGTCAATTATTTTAAGTTCGGGAATAATTTTATTTAATATTTTAAAATATATTTACAAATTATTGATTGTATGCAAACAACTCTATATGAAATCTGTTTAATGAGTAGTTATAAAAATTTTATGGTAAATCATTTCTTCATTCAAGAACTTTAAGTGTGCAATTGTATCGCCATAAAAGTTTTGTGTACAAAGTCAAATATACTTGATGTTTTGTATAACAGAGAATTCATTAAATATTTTTTATTTTTAATACTGTTATTTTATTAGATAAAAATATGCTTAGCGAAGCTCAAAAGAATTGTAAAGTAGCAGCGCTTAGGTGGTTCGTATAAAAAAGAATTTATGAACCAAATAGTTTTAATAAATGAGAGTGTGTGAGTTGCGTAGAGGTTTGAATGTAATTGTATGGCATAAAATAGTGTAAATACATATATACATGTATATATGTGGATATTATAAATTTCTTAGGATTCAGCTTGAAATTGTTAAACCAGAATTGCGCTTAATATTTTGTCTTGTAAATTATGAATCTTTTCAAATATTTTAAGATAATACAATGATGTAAAATATTGATTTTGAATTGCAATATTACTGTAATTTGCCTTGAAACGATAAGCGATGCTATGAGCCAAGTCTTGCAGACATGTACCTTGTTACACAAAGTTATTTTAGCTTCATAATGAAGATGATAAATGTTCCGTAAAGTTAGAATTTTAATTTTCATTGACATTTCATGAATATACTGAAAATGTACTGAGTATATTCATAAGTTAATTTTACTTTTATTATTAATGTACGCTTCAAATCAGTTATAGAGTGCATGCAGAAATTGAATTATAATTAACATTGTAATATATCGTTAATGTATATATCACGGGGTTATTGTTATATTATTATTAAAATGAATTTTAAGAACAATGTAATTCTTATTTCTTTATAAAACTTTCATTCACACAATTGTGAATGTAACTATTATAGTATTTGTTTCATTATTAAAAAAAAAAAAACAAAAATTTTTAAATTTGTTCAAATTGGATAAACATGTGTGAAGTAATTGAAATAAAATTTTATAAAAAATGAATGACCAATTACTATACTGTATTATTAAAAAAACCGATTATTATCTAACAATTCAATATATATATATATATATATATATATATATATTGTTGAAAACTTCAATTTCCATTTATATAAATTAATATTAAAATGTTCGTTCTTTTCCTCGAAATATTATTAAAGGATTAATAAAATGTAATTAATTTTCCTGATATGAATTAAAATAATTATGTAATTAAATTAAAAGGATCTACTTTCTTGTGCATAATTTTATTTGTTTTTTTTACATATCATACATTGGAAATGATATTGAAGCTGCTGGAACTGGACAATAATAGTCTTCATTTTTTCCTCACGCAATTATTATCTTTCTCAAATTTTACGCAGCATCTTAACTTTTTGTTTTATTTTTTTTTTGTTTGTTTTTTTAATGTTTTTTTTTTTTTTTATTAGCCTACTAACTTAAAAGTGTCATCTATATTAACATTGTATAACTTTATTTAACATCTATGTATACTTTCTGTTACGTTTACATAATATATATGGTACAATAGATAATAATACTCCACGAATCAATACAGATTGATCTCTCGAACATATTTTTGCGTAAAAAACTGTCAAAAGTTCTTTTAACGCATATACATTTGACATCAAGGCCTTATGTTGAATTTCTATTTTTTGTTTTCTATCTCATAGCGTGTCACAGATGGGCCGAAAAAGCTATTGATTACAGCATAAATTTCATATAAATTGTACAGTGATTATAAGTTTTTATATGAATCATTTCATAAATTTTGTATTTTTTTCATAATTTGTACATAGTTTAATGTAAAATCAACTATGATAGTAACAGTAGTTGGAAAAAATGCACAAAATTGTAGTAATGAAAATAATTTTTTTTGCAATATTCGTACTCGTTTTCTCTATTTTTTTTTTTTGTCTCTTTAATAATGGAAAAATTTTTCTATATATTTTATACCTCTTTTAGTTTTTAAAACTTAAAAAATTAAAAATTAATATTCATAAGACTATTTAGTTTTTGACAATAGTTTTTAAGAATGAACTCTTCAATTTAATGAGAGGTTCTCCAATTTTTCAATAAAAATAATATTTATACTCCAAAGAGTTGGCAAAAAGACTTGAATATAAATTATGTAACTAACTACTTGAAACAAAAAGTGATATATTAACAATAAATTCTTTTTTTACTTAATCATATCGAAAGATTTTGTTCCTGAAATATAATATATCTTTAAATGTTATATGGGAAAAACTTAAATCGAGATTTTATCCACGATCATCATTAAAATATAGAAATTATAGTTTACAATTATTTTAAAAACAAATTTTTGTTATTTTCTTTCAATTAAATGGCGTTCAGGGGTGTCCCATTTTTTATTGTCTTAAATGGGATTTATATCGATAGAAGGTGCGGACATTGTAATGTAATTTTGTGTATGTTACTTTTACATTTAATTTTAGAAAAACTTAAATCATACTCACACTTAAGAATATGATATAACATGATAATTCTGTCAATATACAAAAATCAAAAGATACTTTTTTATTGCTGACTTTTCTTTTAACGAAATTCTAGAAGTTTTAAAATTCTAAAGAGTGCATTAGACAAATGAATCGAAAACGGTTCCATTCTTAAAAAATAACTATATGTAATTATATGTTTATTTATATATAATTATATATATATATATATATATATATATATATATTTATGGGAAATTTTTATTTAAAGCTGCATTTAAAAATTAGACAATTCTGTTTAATTAATTTATGAACATTTTTAAAAATTATCTTTACTTCATAATTTATATATAAGTATATAAACATACTTCAACTTATAATTACGTACAATTGTTTTTCTTAAAATGTTGAGTCATAGTAATCAGATTCTAACTTACATACAATAGCATATATATAATCAATATGTTGAAATTTGTTTACACTATGTACGGACCGGTAAAAGATCCGAGACTAAAATACAGCTCAGAGGCTCAACGAAGAGTTAGAGATCGATTATTCATTATTTTATTGATTTTTATATGCGAGTATCGATCGTTAGATATTATATGTATTTTATGATTTATTTTTATTTGGTGCGTACATAAAAGAAGATTAGAACATTTCAGAAAGTACGATTAATTGCAAATATCCCGTATATTATAAAGTAAGAATGGAAGAGAGGTAAAAGAAAAAATATTAATGATTTTTAACTTCAAAATGTGTTTTACAATTCAAAAAAGAAAAAAAGAGAAAGAGAAATGTTTTATTTTTAATCAGTTTCGTTTTCAAGATGTGCCAGCTACTCCGTGTTAAGATTGAGAATATATTTAATGTTATAAAGTACTCTCTAAACTATTGAAAAAAGTAAATAATATCAACATTTTTAAATGTTTTGAAAAATAAAAAAAAATTAATGTAGTATTATTTATACTTAAACAAAAAATATATACATATATCGGCTAATTTATAATTAGTATATTTATCGTTTCTTATATTAAAATATTTTCTTAAGAGTAACGAATATATATGTTTAAATTCTTGAAAATGAAACTGAAATTCATACTTATGTTCTAATTGTTACTTTATACGTATGTCCTGATTAGAAAACCAAATTGAAGACAAAATACTTTAAATTTTACTCCTTCCATGTTTAAATTGTAGTCGATGACTATTCTTTAACTTTTCAAAGCATAACATATTTACAACGTTTTTTATAAAATGAGTTCAAACTTCATTATATTATATTTTTAAATGTTTTAAAGTAGGAACTAATTTTTTGAAACGTTTATAATAAATAATACTTGTTTAAATACAATTGTGGAATTTTCATAATTCATATTCACATAATTCATAAAATATTAAAAATAACAATACATCAATTGTATTCTTCTCACTGTTAATATTAATAAAAAATAATTAACCACAAATCATTCATTCGTTGCAATAAACAATTCTGATATTCAATAAAATTTTCTAAATAAGGATTCTCATGACATTCGAGTATGCTATGGAATGTTTTGGTAGCACTCTCCGGATTTGAAGTGTGTTATTTCAATTCGAAAAATTAATAATTCTACTTTGAACTGATTGAAAAAACAGCCCTTTGCCAATGAACATGACCGCTCTCTTCTATCTCTCAGTATTATCGTTTCTTATTTGTTTTTTTTTTCTGAAATAATTTTATATTATATTTGTAATAAGATGGCATGATTTTTTACATAATTGGAACAACCCCAAACGACTGCAACTGGAATAATTTCCATAATCGGCATATTTTCACATTGGAACTCCAGGCAGTATAATAACAAGAATTACACATATGTTTTCAAAAATTAATCCTCTAAATTTCTAAACGCTTGTTGAATGTCTTCGTGCAGCTGATCAAAGTCTGATCTAATCTTCGCTTCACCGTCTTTAACAGGATCCTAAAAATGCATAATTTATATTGTAAAATAACTAACATTGGTATTCCAATCTACACTCTTAAAATATTATATATCGTGCAGATATATATATATATATATATATATATATATATAGGCATATATAAATTTTGTCGTTAAAATTTATCAAAAAAATTTAAACAAAAATGAGAAACAACTTAAAAAAATATCAATCAAAGCTTGTTCAGAATTGTATATCGACAGAAAATATTTATAACATATTCAATGGGTTATGAAACATTTGTGTACTTTTTTATATCTCTTTTAAAAGACCTTATAAAAAATTACTATATAATTTATTATTTATACTATTATATTATTATATGATATTATTATTTATATTACTTTCTAATTTTCAATTTATTATTTTGCTAGAAACTTCAAATTCTAGAGATTTATTAAATAATCAAGCTAGATGAAGAGTATAAAATATAATTTGAGAAGATTTTAAAAATAATTTATAATTTATATTTAATTTATAGTTAATGCTTTTCTTTTATCAATCAATAAAGATGGAATAACAGTACTTAAACTTTATATGTAATTTATAAAAATACATTATCATTGGAGTAATCACAAATTGGAGATTATCATTTAATATTTATTATTTAGCTATACTATTTTCGTTAACAGTTTTAGTACTTCTTTAATTATTATTAATGATATCCATTTTTTTATCATTACAAATTTAATCTGTACCGGTCTCTTTGATTGATAATACAATGTCATAAAACATTAAAATAATAATGCAAGGAGTGTGCCAATAATTACCTTAAATTTCATCGAAGTGAGTTGATACAGTATATTTCCCATACTATCTCGAATGACATTCCATGTGATTTTGTTATCAGATTGCGCTGTTGACTCCACGGCATGCCTGGCCATATCGTAAAATGCAATCATGTTTCTAAGCATACCAACTGTCTTGTAGAATGGACAAAAGCGATCATATGGCGAGTAGCTGTCAACAAAATATAGGTCATTTAATTCTACATTATCTAATAGGAAACAAATAAATGAATAAATATAATGAAAATTTAATGAAAATAATAATAAATAATGTAATATAAAATTCATAGTCCTTTTAATGTTATTAATAAAATTTTCATAAAATATTGACTCAACATTAAAATTTATAAAATTCAAATACAACTATACCTGTTTTGTTGTAAAAAGTCATCTTTAAGAAGTTTTGCAACTTCAAGGGTTATTTTATCAGTTTCAGCGAGAGATGCTTTACCAACAAGTTGTACGATTTCGGATAAATCTTCTTCCTCCTGGAGGATCTCCTTAACTTTTGTACGAAGAGGCACAAATTCCTGGAAGTTTTTATCATAAAAATCATCTAACGCACGTAAATATTTACTATACGAAATGAGCCAATTAATGGACGGGAAATGTTTTCGTTGAGCAAGTTTTTTATCGAGACCCCAAAACACCTGAAAATTAATAATTATATTTTTGAATTAATTATAATGGTGTTGATAATATCATAGAAATAAAAAAGGTGTTTTCTAATTACCTGTACAATACCAAGAGTCGCACTTGTAACTGGATCGGAAAAATCACCACCAGGAGGTGAAACAGCACCGACAATACTGACCGAACCTTCACGATCTGGATTACCTAGGCACTTTACTCTAAAAAATTAACTTACAATTACAATTTATCTTACAATGTTTGTTTATAGTCCGAATGTAACTTATATTTAATGTACATACCGTCCAGCTCTTTCATAGAAGCTAGCGAGACGAGCACCAAGATATGCAGGATAACCAGAATCGGCAGGCATCTCAGCCAAACGACCAGAAATTTCTCTTAAAGCCTCGGCCCATCGAGACGTCGAATCAGCCATCATAGACACATTATAACCCATGTCCCTGAAATACTCGGATAGAGTAATACCTGCAAATAATTAATGTAAACGTAAATTTACTTGACTTAAAAATAATAATATTCTACTAAGGACTTCATCAATTTTTATAAATATTACAATAATAATGCATTGGTATTTAATGTACAATTAGATAATTCATGCGTATAGTATAATATAAATTGTATGTAATGCTTGTGCACAAAATTTCATTTTAATTTTAAGTACACTTATAAATAATCAATAAGTTATAACTTAATACAAGATATAAGTAAATATAATCACTAAGTTATAAGCATTATTACCAGAGTTTTAGGTACCAACTAACCGGTATAAATGGATGCTTCTCGAGCAGCTACAGGCATGTTTGACGTATTGGCAACTAGAGCAGTACGTTTCATAATGGACTCGGTAATTCCATCGATCTCAACAGTGAGCTCTGGGAAATCTCTCAGTACCTCGGACATCTCGTTACCACGTTCTCCACAACCAACGTAAACGATAACATCAGAATTTGAATACTTGGATAGAGCTTGAGAAATTACAGTTTTTCCACAACCAAAGGCACCGGGAATGGCAGTGGTACCTCCTTGAACGCATCTAAATAAACAGATGTACCATTATGTTTTTAATCGAAATTCTTATATTATTCGTATATTATTTAAAGTAAAATTGATAAACTATACTGAAATATGAATCCTTATCATTAGTTCACTATGCTATAAAAGCACATGTATATGAGATAGCGAACATTGTTTATTTTATATAAAGTTTGACTAACACTAGTCGTATACTTATCGTATAAGTATGCCAGTAATTGAAAAGCAAATTTCATTATACACATTATTTTTCATTTATTGATTAATTTCTATTATTTAATGTTTTAATTCTCTTCTTCGAATATTAATTACTAATTAATTGAAAACAATTTTTAGATGAATTAAATTTCATTGGAATTATAATATTGAAACATTAAATAGTTTGGCAAGGCGAAAAAGAATTTGTTTTTTTTCAAAATATGTAAGTAAAATAATTGATAAATATCTAAATATCTAGTGATACATTCTAAAATGAAAGTTTGGAAATAGCAATATATAATTAAACTCACGGAAATAATGAATCAAGTACGCGCTGACCAGTTAAAAGAGGATGATTGGCTGGCAATTTCTCTGTAACAGGACGTGGCTGACGTACTGGCCAAACCTACAAATAAAATTTGATTAAGATGTCTTAAAATTTAATAAGTCTATTATATTTTGTAATATTATGAGGAATTCGTTAACTATTTCTCTCTATATTGCAAATTAATAATAATTACCTGAAGCATGGTGTATTTGGTTCTTTCTCCGTCAAATTCTGTTTCAAGAACAATATCCTAAAAGTGAATTGCACAATGATTTCAATAATTCCAAGTTCATCGAAATATTATTATTATTATATATTGTACGAAAGATTTCATTAGGAACTTACATTAACGGTATAATTACCAGGTGGAGCTATATAAGTGACGGTGCCCTTGTGTCGCGGTGGCAAAATCATTTTGTGTTTAACCAAAGTATTTTCGTGCACGATACCATACATATCACCTCCCGTAATATGACTGCCATTTTTAATATACAATGGATTAAATTCCCACGATGCAGTCCGCGATAAAGCGGGTACGTTGACACCCTTAGGAATATAAATTGAGCTAGTTAGCTCATTGATGTCTTTCAGTGGACGTTGAATACCATCGAAGATACTTCCTAGAATGCCCGGACCCAATTCTACGGACAATGGCTTGCCAGTTCTAAGTACTGGATCTCCAACCGTAACACCGCTCGTCTCTTCGTACACCTAATATATAAACATATGTGAATTTCTTAATTCCTAATAACTTATAAAACGAAGATTATATTTTATTAAAAATTGAGTGGGCATACGCGGGTAAGGTTAAAACGTATCAAACGTACATTAAAGAATTACAATTCATACGGGTTAATATGAAATCTGATTTACCAGCAATGATTTAGGTCATTCGTATTAATCATCAACATTGCCAAACTTATTTAATACGAAGAGAATTTTAATGTTATCCTCGAATACGATACGATGTAAAGCTTGCATGAGAAAACAATAATATTTTAATAATATATTTACTTGCCTGGATGGTAGCCATGTCTCCTTCGAGACGAATAATCTCTCCTACAAGTTCATAATATCCAACACGGACTAACTCGTACATAGCCGAGCCAGACATTTTCTCTGCGGTAACAACTAAAATAAATAAAAGAATTGATTATCAATAAAAATAAGAGGAGAGTAAAGTATAAAAAAAAAAAAATAATAAAATATATAGTAATAATTTTAGACGTAAAACTCACCAGGTCCGGATACAGCATAGACGTATCCAAACTTTGCCTCCTTCTCCTCGCTCGCAATCTTCGGTAGCGTCATGTTGCTTCGTTAATCTACAAAACGAGAAAAATGTTTACGTCTACGAAATTTTGATTTAATACATAAAATCAATCAGATCCATCTGGTCAATGTCATTTAGAACGAGAAAAATTCGGCGAATACAAATATTTGAAGCAATGAGATACCGTCGAAATTTACAAGTAAATCTACTTAAATGAAAATCACGTGATACGTCTCACGAGACATCAAGCCAAAATCACATGGTATAACGCCAAAAAGTAATCGTAAATACACAAAGAATTAATAAAGAAGACTAAATCACTTGGGGGGAGAAGGCGGACGGCATGGTGGAACGTTAGAAAAAACACTTGTTATAAGGCAAAGGATTGAACGGGAGTGAATGAAAGACACTGGGCAACAAAACTGATGGCACTTAATCGATGAGCAGCAAAGCCTTTTTCGCGTTAGCTTACAATTGCCATAGAATTGCGCACCAGGAAATAATGAAGGGACAGCTGAGCGAGTGGACTGGTAGGCTACCCCGAGCTGTCACCCTTTCTTACTTGACGCTAAAGTCGTTGAGACAATCGTACTGCGGAGCTCGCCAAATGGACAAGATTATTATTCACGCGTATCGTCAAGTCCCGACAGACGGAGATGCTCTCTCACGTGAGCGCCCGATGTAGGCGTAGCCTTTCCCTCTATACTCGCTAGTTGCGCTGCTGGTGCTGCTGCTGGTGCTGCTGCTGCTGCTGCTGCTGCTGCTGCTGCTGCTGTCGCTGTTACTGTTACTGCTATTGTTGCCGCCGCCGCCGCCGCTTAACTCTTCTCTCACACTCTTCGTGTTAACCGCGACTTTTCCATTTTTTTAGATTGGTTTCGCACCCTTTTGCCTCTAGCTAATGTAATGAACAAATATTCGTAACGTCTGTGTTCTCGAAAGATATATATATATATATATATATATATATATATATATATATGCACGACGACGCGTACGTACTTTAAATAAATTACATAAAAGTACATGCACTGGTTAATCTAACGATATCTCACTTGAATATTCATGTGAATATTCCATTACTTCGTTCACAAACGCAGCAAATCTCCCCAATTTTTCGACACTCGCCGTGCTTCGTCTTTTAATATTTTCACTTTGATGCTTGCGATTAATGAAGTGGTGAGTAATGTTTGACCTTATTATTTAAAGCCAAATTTATATTTAAAACTTTCGAAATTGTGGCGTCGTCGTATCGAAGGTAGAAAGAACAAAAAAAATAGAATTTTTTTTTCACAAGCATTATCGATTTTAATTAATTATATTTATTTCGCACTGCGTCCTCGAATTGCCACCCAAGATACTACTACCGAGCGAAGAAGGTCCTTGAACAATTTTCTGCAGCAATAAATACACTTTATTTAATCTGAAGTTACGGCAAGGCATTTGGTTAGAATTAGCTGGCAATCGATCGCATTCGATTTTAGATGAAATTAATTGAAAGAAGCTACATCTATGATGTGTGTGTAAGTTAAAAAAAAAAATATATATATATATATATATATATATATATATATATATATATATATTAGATGCACTAAAGGTGCCTTAAACGAGCAAAATGTATTATAAAAATACTCGTAAGGATGAGATTAAATAAATGATGCAGCCCAATTCCAATTGTCAGGAATAAATTTGCCCCGATATTTAATCTTTTTAAGTTATTCATTAAGTTAATCGTCAAATTTTTCATTCTTATTTGATTCTTAATTTCATGTAAAGAATAGAAAGAAAGTTTTTAGCATACAGAATAACCGAGGCAGGGAAAGTAGTCAATTTTCCTATGGATAATTCATAATAATTACTAATTCCGAAGTACACTACTTTGGGGGAGGGGGAGGGGGGGGGAATTAATATTTTACAAGTTCAACCGATTGAATTGACTCGACTGAAATTAAATTCGACTACTTTCGAAAGCATGATTATTAAGGCCACCAATTAATTACGTTTTTTAATCACAAACCACGCACAGCCTTAATTACCGCTTATTTCCAATATTTTAATATCTTCCAACTGTGCTGGGTAAGAAAATGTCGAAAAGTATTCTCGATGCGGATTATATTTCAACGACTGGGCTTCGGAAAATTCGAGCCTCTTAATTTGTAATATCTACATCTGTGTTGGAAGAAGCACCAAAAGCAAAAACAAATTCAGTGTCTCGAGAGTGTAAAAATGCAGCACAAACGAGCAACCAAACCGTCCGCCGTAACGAGATAAAGGTAATTGGAAGGAAGAGAGAGAGAGAGAGAGAGAGAGAGAGAGAGAGAGAGAGAGAGTTAGCTGGTAGGGAAGTGGGAGGGGGATCAAATGCAGAAGAAAATAGGAGGTACTGTCGTCACTGGATCGTCACCGCCGGTAGATCGCTTAGCTTCGCGCACCACCTTGAGCTGGTCAAACCACTAGACAGAAAGTGAGAAGCGACCACGGGGGGTGGGATCGACAACGGGTACCCCAATTGCTTTTCACGTTTTCGGCTTGAACGCCATGGCGCAAAGCCAGTTCTCGAAGGAGGTGGAGGAGGAGGATGAGCGAGAAGCGTGACTCGATCGATAGCCCAGCCCTAACGCCTTACACCGAAACACACTCGACTAATCTTAATAATATAATAATTAAGAATTATTATAATAATTAGCCACTAATCTTCCAACCTACCAGCAGACTTACGATTAAGTCGACGCTCAACGACGACTGACAACGGGTCTGCGGAAATTGCGTCTATGCGTGTTCACGCGCGCCCGCCTCCTCGTCCCCCTGTCCGACCAAATCCAATGCGACGATAACACGGCCGAACGGACGGACGCACACCCTGGCGACGGAGACCCGCGGGATGCGCTATTGCTGGTGATCGTCGAATGGCTTTGCGCTTTACGTTCGGATCCGCCACGGGGCAGCACCGACTCCCGCAATAATCGCGAGATCGCGGGTCAGCTGACGGCACGTGCTGCCGACACCCGACGACATCGACGACCACGACCAATCCCGAGAGCCCAATTAACCCTGGGCTCCGCTCATATTTCCCACTCCCTCGTCGACGCGGCTACTTCGAATTTAAAAAAAAACGCTACGTAGAAAAGGCCAGCCATCCCCTTTGAAGAAGACCAATGCGAGAGTGCGTTGAAGGTTTAAAATGCTCCTCTCTCTCTCTCTCTCTCTCTCTCTCTCTCTCTCTCTAATCATCGGTGACACTCACTGTAACGCCCAGATGGGACAATGCGAACGCCTCTTATTAATGACTACACTACGATATATCTCAATTGGCTCGATTGACATGGCTAATGAAGTGTACTTTTATTGTTACACTGTTGCTCAGTGGTATGGAAAGCAATTTATACTCAGTCTCTCAGTCAAAGATACCTTGGGTTATTGACATTTATTCAATCGCATGTGTAGTTGTAATTACTGGTTGCCGGGAAAGAAGAACGCCTGCAAGAATCTTTTATCCGTCGAGGAAAATTTTATACAAGTTTTTTTTTAAATTTTTTATTTCATTCAGCTTGAATTAACTATTTTCCGCGATACTTGCAACTGAGATGCAACTGTTGAAAAGACAATTTTGCATTATATTTATGCGAAATGAAATGTATATAAGATTAGCTTCGATAGGGATAATAAGATTTAAAATTTTATAACAATACGACCAATCGTTGTATAAAGTACCAAAAAACTTATTCAATCTTAGTTTTGTAATAATCATTATTTTAATACACATTTTAATTTATAATTACGATTCTCAAAGTTTGTAGACACTTGATTTAATTTAAAAGTACAATAGTTTGCATAGAATATGGAAACTCGGCAAAGTTCATATAGTATATTCAAACGTATAATTTCTATGTGAAATTTAATACACATAATCTAAAAGTTCGTATTAATACATAAATTAAAAATTTCACATATATAGAGTAAAAATTAGAAAATATATAGGTTAAGTTTATGCGAGATAAATAAATTTGTTCGGCTAAAGCTCCTACCCTGAAAATTTCTGTTCACCATCTTGTTACTTATTATAATAAGGATATTTATAAAGAAAATAAGTAAGAAAAATTTCGAGAAAGAGAAAAGCATCGATAGAAAAAGTCTTTTCAATCTATGTTCAGAGATTTAATTAATGTCGATAGGATAATAGAGATCCAATGCGTACAATCTACACAGGCAGTCTCGATTCCTGTTTCTCCCTCTCGCGTACCTTTTTTAAATTCCGACAGCGTAATTAGCAATGCCATATCGATTTACAGTGTCTCGCTCTATGACACGCTTACGCGTACATCCGTATGTTGTATATCCGTATTTCTGTAACAAACGTAAAGAAGAGAGGAATAATAAAAAAAAAAAAAAGAAAAAAAAAATGCGTAAAAGTTGTATAGATCTAGCCTATATTTATAAATATGTAACAAAAAAAATAGAAAAAAACACTTATAATATTATATTTCACCGTAGATGTCATACGATAATTAAAAATTATTGAACACTATAGTTCTCATTGGCACGATCGTCTTTAAAAATTTTGCAAAAGATATATATGTAATATTGTTAAAAAAATTTATGAGCGGTATTTTCGTTTTTCGGAAATTTCGTTATATAGTATAAGTAAATTATCGCTGATCTTCGTTATTCCAAAAGATTATTATAATCTTATAAATCGCGATACACATATAATAAAAAAAATTATTATAATTCAAAACTAAGCAAACCTTATTGTTGAAATTATCTTTAAATGCGGTTGGAACGTTACGTATGAAATTTAATATCTAAAAATTTAAATACCTTTTAATTATTTAATTATTTAATCTCATAATGATTCAATAATCATATCGACCATAAGTTAAATCAAATAATTCTTTACTAAACAAAAATATAAGTAATATTTGCAAAATTTAATGCAATAGGATGAATGGATGGATGGATAGGATATTATTATAAAAGATTTTCGTCTTTTAGCATTATATTGTTTTTCTTTATTTCATTAAGGATTAGTCTTACTAAAGACATGCTTTTATACATTACACACAAGTTCATAAGTAGCTTTTTTATAGACCCATAACAGGTGCTGTAAAAAGTTATTGGGAAATTTCGAGGCAGAGCTTTTTATCGGGTTATTTATTTTGTGCAGAATGAAGCCAAGTAAATAAGATTTTATACAGTGTGGAGTTCATTACCAAATTTGTGTCGTAGATAAATTTGTATATTAGATAGTAATTTGATGTAACGACTACGTAGTGATTAGAGAAAATTTAAATTTATAAATTCGACAGCAACATCATAATGTCGAATTTTATATCTATATTTATACTATATTTATGAACATATTATGCAATTTCATAATAATTTAATTTTCATACATATATCTATTATATAATATGTTATAAAATAAAGTTAAAAAAAAAAATTATTTTATATTAATTTAGCCAGATACTTGATAGTCGCATTCTTCATACGTTATTGCATATTATTTCAGTATATTTGAAATAATATCAATGGTATAATCGAATTTGTGATAGTTGAATCACGTCGAAGGTTCGTTAATGTCAATATAATCAAAAAATTAAAACAATATTGCAATCATAATCCGAATGCCTACAATAATTTGATATATTATTTATTGATACCGAAAAATTAGTTCAAATATTTGCTTAAGCGGTAATATTATTTTATATGTAGAATATTCAAAAAATTCATACTTACTTTTTTAACTTTCAATTT